CAGCAGCTGCTTTATGAGAGTGTAAATTATATTTCAGTACTGCTACCTCTTGTGATTTTATTGCAAGTTTTTCAATATTTGGTGTTTTTCTTAACTGTCCCACCTATTGGAGTCAACTGATTACATGATACTCAGCTTTTATTTAAAAAATTAAGTATTTAGCTCTAATGATTGCAGAGAAATGCTTGAAAAAGTGAACTAACTGCACCCTTAACAGCTCAGAACCCAGAAGGCAAATAACTCCACCCCCCAAAATTCTCTATTTTTTAAAATTCTCATCATTTTTAAGCCAATCTCGTGGGATTTGTTGAGCCCAATTCATGATTTTGAATGCTTGGGGTAAGCAATATTGTACACCCAGTCAGTGAAATGACAGCATCACTGAAGCAAGAAAAGCCACTAATGTAAGTGTGTAAAAGGAGGCCTGCTTCATCTTATTGGCTTTCATCTTTACACACTTGTGATAGAATGTACCTGCTGTGACCACACCCCACATGCTACTGTAATAATCTTTGTACAAAGTATGCCTTGTGAGTTATCATTTTAAAACTCATAATTTTCTGTTTATTATTGTCCTGATAAAATGTGTGTGACAATTGTCTCATGTGAAGTTATAATATTCCACTTTATGATGTTATTAACACATTCCAAAGTGAGGTTAGCAGACAAGTCTGCCTCAAATGAATGTGTGTTCTGCTTAATTAGCATTTAAGCAGTAAACAGAGTTATCAAGCAGGTCGGGAAACACAGGATGCTCAAACAGGTGAGGAAAAAGCAGCAGGGAATATCCTTCCATATAGACTCTTTTGTCTCCCGAATGTCATCTGGAGATGCATTCACAGCACCTGAAGGACAAAGGAGTCAGTGCTGAACTGGCAGAGGGATCCTGACCTAAGAAGTTTGGTGAGTAAGACTGCTGAAAGTATATGGTGAGAAACTATTTTGCTTGATTCTGATATAGTTTAAGTTAAGCACCATCAGAGTTATAACTTTGACTTATGCCTCATTACTTGTACTTACTTAAAATCTCTGTTTGTAGTGAATAAACTTAGTTTATTGTTTTATCTAGTCCAATGTGTTTAAACTGAAGTGTCTGGGAACCTGCCACCATTTGGAGTGGCAGGTTCTGTGCAAATTATTTCTTTTAAAGCAATAACAGACTTTATATAAACTTGTATTATCCAGGAGAGGGGTGGGTATCACAGGACATACATTTCTGGGGGGAAATCAAATACTGGGGGTGTGTTGGGGTCACCTGCAGTATAACCGAGGTTGGAAAGAGCCCAGGTGTGGCTAGCTGCAGCACACACACAGACATAGCTTGGAATGACTTTCATGCTGGAGGCTACAGCAGCAAAGCATTGGAAAGGGCACTCCATGTTAGAGGGCAGGAGTGACACAGCAACTCATTAGTCTGGATTGTACCCTGATATGTTGCTTTCCCATTGCATCTTTGTTCTCTTGGAGTAAATTACACCAATTTATGTTGCTTATGATGTTTTATGAATATGCAATTTATACTGCCACTTACATCCCCTCTGAATCTGGCCCTGTGTAGTTAGTTTGTTCTCCTTTTGTTTGATCTGTATATGAAAACTGCAGCAAACCTAAACATTTACATGAAGTGGAAATGATGCCATGGAAGAAGTGTTTTTGTTTGGGTGTTAGACATTTCAGCAGTTTTTGTGTCTCTTATTGTTCTCTCTGTTTATTATTGTATGTCTGTCTCTCTTTCTTATCCTACCTTAGAAAATGACTTGAGTCAGATAACTGCAGTATGTTGTGGGCAGTTAGAATGAATGCAAATTTTCAGTATCTTCCTCTTATGTGATTGGGTAAAAGAAGACAGGATTTTGGAATTGTGTGGATTCTTGTTGTGATCTACACTGCAGGATCCGTGTGAATGTAAGAATAAATTATTTAAACATCTACAGACCAAATTGTGCCTCAGCAGTTGTATGCTTGTTTGATCGGATTTCAACTAAGGAATATCCCGCTGTTTGTCATTCACTAGAAGAAAGCAAAAGAGACGTGTGACTTGATAGGTGGTGATTAAGCTTATTGTAATGTGCATGGCTTTTTTTTACTGTGGTGCTAAAATCTGTCCATCAACATGTAGGGAATTGGAAGGTGTGCATATGTGACATTATCCTGTTTGTTAATGTAAATTTATTTATTTTAATGATGTGAGAGGAATGTATTGCATTTTAGAGAGACAAACTTTTATTTCTCACTGCCTCAGTGTGCACCTGCTTTAAGAAGTTCACACAAAGGTCTTGCTCAGTGATATATCAGCATGTTTTGATTTATTTTTCTGAAAACAACTGTATATTGGAAACATGTGTTAGTCATGTCTCTTAATGCACTACTGGAAGGTGTTCAAATACTATGGTGGTGAGGATGGTAAAAGAACCTATAAAGAATGGAATAGAACATATTACTTATTGTGTACCTATCTCCAACACTGAATAAACCTCATTTTATTTTCCACAAAGTTAAAAGTTTCTATGTCATAATTCAGGATTAAAGGAAAAACACTTAACTTTAATATGTGCTAGATATTAAAGTAAATTTTAAACAAATCTAAAAGTGTATTTATATTATTGATTTGAGGTTGTGGGGAGTTACACATGCACATCAAGGAATGACTCTTCAATATTAATTTAAATAATGTCTCTCCCAGCCTCTGACATCAGAAAAGAACAGTTTTTAACTTCTGTACTATTACCAAAGATGTTTGTGTTATTGTTATAGAAAGTTGCCTTGAGATTAATTACTTGAAAAGGGCCATAAAAGTGCAGGAAAATGGCACAGACTGATGAGTACATTGACCAATGTCTCAGTTTCAGAAATTATAATCTTTGTTTTTATAGGGAATATAGAGTTTGTGTGGATTACCAGCAAAAATACAGAACTGATTGGTGGAGAAATTTAATGCCATATTATTTTTTGCTCTCTTGTGAGAAATCCAAAGAATGGAGACTAGCAAATGTTACATAGTTTTTTGAGGGGGCACCCTGTTTTATATTGTTTTGTTTTTTAAAGGAGTGAGTCATCTGCATTACCATCAGGAGTTAAAATAAGGGGGAGTGCAGCTCTCCCTCTTTCCTAAAAGGAGCATGGGAGCACACACTCTCCTCCTCGTCCGTCTCCATGGCTTGGAGAGGTTAGCTCCCCAAGAGCTCGTTGTCCTTGGCTATGGGATCAGCTCTCATCACACAGAAGAATTTGAACTGGGAGCAGGAGGACGGGGTTGTATCTGGCTGGGGAATTTCTGGAGTCATTAGGTGGAGCAGTAGTGCCTGATGTGGCAAGTAGAGGTGTCTCAACTGGGAGTCCCCGTCATATCTCCTCTAAAGTAAGTTCTATTCTGCTAGCTCCCATTTCTGCCAAGATGCCTTTAAGTTGACTGGAAGAAGGGGGGAAGGGAGAGGAAAGCCCCCTCCTTTTTTTTCTTTATGATACGAAAAGAAAACATCTATTTTTTTTAAGCGTGAAGGGGTTTCTGCTTGTGTGTTTTCCCTGCCCCCACCCTCCATTAGAAATTTAGATCTATTCTACCTTGAAAGACACTACTGAACTAGTGAAATTATGATGGGTCAAGAAGAGGTTGAAAACTGAATAACTGTGAGAGGAGAGGATTTAATTCAATTTTTTTAAAAACTTTTTTAGTTAACACCTATTTAATTCCAGTGTGTACTGAGCATTTGGGATAAATGATTATTTTGTTAAAATGTCATGAACTTCAACCTTTTGCTTATTGTGAGCTCTCTTATCCTTTAATTAGTATTGTAAAATCCCCCCCCCTCCGCCCCCGAAAGTCTTCCAGCAACAACAGGGACGATCAGACTTAATATTTCTTATATAGCTAAGACCGAAGACGGGGGAGGGAGGGGCAGGAAAAAGAAAACTTTTGATAAAGAAGCAAAAAAGGGAAGAACCCAACTTTTAAAATTTTTTGCACGAAGTAATCTTTATTTCAAGGTAATCTAAAGTATGTATTTAGTGCACCTAATGTATAGTACCCTTATTCTGGAAAAAAAATGATGGAAAAGACTTATTATATAAAGTAATCCTTTTCTCTGTAGTTGCAGGATAAAGTCCCCTGAAAGAGAGCACATAAAACTTTTTATGTGGACATTATACTTGATCAGCTCAGTCATTTTGGAAATGTATATAATCAATAATTATTTTATCGATTATTGGTGCCATCTCTGCTAAGAACCAAAATCTCCTTCCTAAAAGGTTACAGTTTACTAAAATCTGTTCTTAAACATAATGCTTTTGTATTTAAATATTATCTCTGATTTTGTTTGTAAGCTATATAGTAAAATCCTCACAGATCATCTTTTCCTGAGAAAGAGCAATGTTGTGTTGGTTGGAAAGCTGACATTTTTATGGTGGTCTTAATTTATTATGTATCTTGTGGCTGTGGTTATGGATAGATGCTATTGACATTAACCAATCTTAAAGGTCATATTCTGGGATTGGTTTTGTTCATGACATTTATGTGTGCCCATTTTAATTTCATATTGGAAAAACTAGATCAGCAGATGTAAAATACATTGCATATTATAGTGTTTCTGAAATACATCAAAATTAATCTGCCAAGAAATACTATTGAGATAATTTTAAATGTCAGTGTATGGGGGTGGGGGTGTATTCAGCACATTATTCTGTCTTAGCAGCATTCTCACTGATTTTTATATTTTGACAATTGCTGTTTTTTAAAAATTACATATTTTAGTGCTCATTAAAGTTTCTGGATTGACATTCTCCATATTGAAGCCTGCGTTAAAGGTAAGTTTAAAACCAACATTTGTACAAGCTTTCCCATACTGCCAATGTGGCTCAGTACTTCTGTGGAGGAACCAGATCTAGACGGGTAGTTCAGTCTCTACACGTTGGCCTGTACACTTAACGGATTAAATCTTGACCCCATTGAAGTCAATGGTAAAATTTCCACTGACTTCAGTTGGTCCATGAGTTCACCCAGAAGGTTGTTGCCTTGTTGTTGCCAATCAATATGATGTGTGATGGTGTATTTTTGTCAACTGAATACCTATATGCTGAGAACTAGACTGAGGCTACGAATTATGAGTGGCTGTTAGAGACATAATTCATATGTTTTTGTTTTTTCCCATAGGACTCTGAAATACGTACAGTGACTGGCTTTTCACAGACTGATGGCTGATCGAGTGCTTGTGATTGGCAGTGGAGGCAGAGAGCATGCTCTGGCCTGGAAATTGGCACAATCTCCACATGTAAAACAAGTGCTAGTCGCTCCAGGAAATGCAGGAACAGCCAATAATGGAAAGATTTCAAATTCAGGTAATAGAAAGCAAATAAATTATATTTCAAGCTGTGCACATATATAGATGTGTGAATATAAACAAAAAATGTTCAATATCATATGCTGAATCAGTAGAAATTGACAGTGTGTCTTATTCTTTTCTACAAAAGATACCACAAATTATACCACATGCAAATAATTTTTGCTGTGTGGTTTTTTTGAATTGTTGGATTATCTGATAAAACACTTACTCCTGGGGGAATTTTGTGCCACTGCGCATGCACAGAATTTATGTCCCCCACAGATTTCTTTGTTTCCCCACAGAAAAATGACTTTCTGACAGGGAAGCAAAGGGAGGCCACTAAAGCTGTCATGCGACCCTGCCCAGCAGTATATTTCAGGTGCCTAGGACAGCTGGCAGAGAGGTAAATCACCATGGGGCAGGAGACAGGACTGGGGAAGACCTGGCTGGTGGCTCCTACCCTGTGCCAGGCTCAGCTGTTTTGTCACAGCTGGGCTGGGGAGGATGGGACTTCCTCTTCCCCTGCACGGCATCTGGGGCCAGTTCAGACCCACCCCCAGATTTCTCCCCCAGCTGCAGAAAATTCTGCAAACTCTCTCTCTCTCTCTCTCCCCCGGCCCCCCGATTTCTGCACTGGATCCCTGTATAGAGAGCTACTCCCCCATCCACCGACCCTCCCCCGTACACCCAGATCCCCTCATATCCACACCCCCGCACTCGGAACCCGCACAGTGTGCCCCACTCCCCCTGCACCTGACCATCCCAACAAGCCACCCGGATCTCTACCCCACTGAGCCCCAACCTGCTGAACCTGGATCCCTATCCCATTGGGTCCCACTCCCCCAGCATCTGGACCCCTTTACCAAGCTCTATCCCCCTCCCCGCCCCATTCTGAACTCCCCCTACTGAGCCCCAACCACCTTCACCTGAACACCCCTGCAGAGACCCATTACTGTTGCACCCAAAACCCCCAACAAGTCCCTGTGCATCTAGATCCCCCCCGGACCCGGATTCCCCATTGAGCCTCCCGCATCCAGAATGCCCCACACAGAGCCCTCTCAACCCACATCTGGATCCCCCCACATTAAGCCCACTCCACACTTGGATCCTGCCTTGCTGAGCCTGCCTGCCCACACAGATGGGCAGGTCCCTGGGGTATTTCTGGGGCAGGCATGGTCCTTGCGCTGTGTCAGGGTTGGGTGCAGCCTCGCTGCTGAATCTGTGTCCCAGGGGGGGAATTTGCAGAGTGATATCCCACCTCTGTGCAGCCAGTGGCCTGTGCTCCCCAGTACCATGCTGGAGCCTCCACATTTACTTGACAAGTAACATTTGCAGAATTTTAAAATATCCTACACATAATTTTTAATTTTTGGCACAGAATTTTTAATTTTTTGGTGCAGAATGCCATCAGGAGTAAACACTGCATCATATGTATTTTGAAAAAGCGCCAAGAATTAAAGTAAACAACACATGAGACTTGAGGACAGCTGGATCTAAATGGATACTAACCACTCCCAAAAACACATACAAAGGTCCAAAAATTAATAGAGTGAAACAGAGTCAAATTCACAATGTATTTTAGGTTCTACCTTCTTCAGTGGTAAAAGATTTATTTCACTGTCACTGAATCTGATCGGTATGTGCTTTAATGCTTGTATATGTGAGAATGGTTTGTCTTGTCATTGTGCCTAAAGTACAGATCAATGAGAATCTTTCTACTGACTTCAGTGGTCACTGGATCAGGCTCATGATTTACTCCTGGAGGAATTTTGTGCCAAAAATTAAAAATTCTGTGTCAGATATTTGAAAATTCTGCGAATTTTATTTATCAAAATAACACGATATAAGCATACCAGTTACAATTATTTTGGTAATTTATTTCAAAATATCTGTCAGCAAGTATGTCTAACAATACAGACCCTCCCCGCAAGAAAAGATTCTGGTAATTTTTTATTTTGATAAATATATTCTTTACGAGGCATATTAATACAGAACTTTGTGTAATTCATTTAAATTACAATACAGAATTGTGTTTCCTGCACCTGTCGGAAGCAGTGCAAAGGCTTGGTGGAGTCGGGTAATGGAGGAGCTGAGGGAGAGGGACGGAGCATAGCAGTGTTGGGTGTGGGAGGGAGGTTTTTCTTTGAGAAGGGATTGTTAGAGTGTTTGGGAAGCCTCCCCCATGCAAATCCTTGCTGACCCCAAGCCTCTGCCATTCAGTCAGGCACGTCTGCCCCGTCCCCGCACCTCTCATCTCCATGGGTCTCTGCAGCCACCGTCCCCCACTAGCTCCTGAGCCCATGCTCCAGTCCCCCCGAGTAGCCATTCTGAACCCCAGTCTGTGACTCTCCCCTCCTCTCCCTCCCCGCAGCCCTGTGTGCCCCACTCTGTCCTAACCTGGCTCTGTGAACACAGTGCTGTGATGAACTCCTGGGGGAATTCTACAGCACCGGGTATAGAATTTTGTATTTTCCTGCATAAAATACATTTTGCCTAAGAAGTGCTGCAGTTCCACCATCTGCCCACCAGAGGCCTCTGTGGTGCTAGAACGCCTTTTTATTTTTAAAATGTGTTAGTCCATTTGTATAAAGATGTTTTTAAAATGTTTACTTGGGCTACCCAGAATAAACATAGCGTGATTAATATTTAGTGAATGTATATTTATCATATATTGTGCATAACCTTCAGTTATCTATTCTGGACTCCGTTTTTAGTTCTTTTTCAGTTTTGATAACGTCTGTAAGGGCTTAGCACCCTCTAAGTTGTTCAGCTCTTCTTTTGCCTATAATATCCTATTCCAACACTGTATTGTCACTGTTCGGGGTTGAATTATAATTATAACTTAATTATATATCTTTATCCTTGTCAGCAGTGTTAGTCAGCAATCATACTATCCTTGCCCAGTTCTGCAAAGACCATAACATTGGACTTGTGGTAGTTGGACCAGAGACACTCTTGGGAGCCGGTAAGGTTAGAATAAATTCTCTTGTTAGAAAAAGCCAAGTGCCTTAAATTTATCTTAAAAGAAAAATAATCATATTGAAGTTCTAAACTGTATTCTACCTTAATTTAACTGAAGTGTAAGAATATTCTAGGGTTTTCCTCTATATATGTAAGATTATTTTATGTCTAATTTTTGCTTCGTAGCTGTGTACATGTTAGACATCATGTGGGAAATGTGCAGTAACTGGATGGTCTCACTATAAGGCTTTGTAAAATAGGATTAAAGATCTCTTGAAATCAAATGATTAAACAGGTAGCTTAATCCATTTGTAAAATAACATTTTGAACATTAAATTGTTCACTATAGCAAAGGACATAGCAGGCTGCTTGGATGGTGCTTTGAGAGGTATTTAAGAACATAAGAACGGCCCTACTGGGTCAGACCAATGGTCCGTCTAGCCCAGTATCTTGTCTTCCGACAGTGGTCAATGTCATGTGCTTCAGAGGGAATGAACAGAACAGGTAATCATCAAGTGCTCCATCTTCTGTCTCTCATTCCTAGCTTCTGGCAAACAGAGAAGTAGGGACACCATCTAGTTCTTTTTTTGCCTCTTTATAAAACCACATCTTGAATTCTGCATGCAGATCTAGTTGCTCCATCTCAAAAAGGATATATTGGAATTGGAGAAAGTACAGAAAAGAGCAACAAAAATTATTATGGACTTTTCTATTTTGAAAAGAGACTGCTAAGGGGGGATATGATAAGTCTTATAAAATCATGACTGGCGTGGAGAAAGTAAATAAGGAAATGTTTATGTACTCCTCATAACACAAGAACTAGGGGGCACCAAATGAAATGTAGACTTCCATGCTAACCGTGCTCTGAATATTTTCAAATGAGGGATGAGAACAAAAATAAAATGGTAATACACACAAACCCATCAATAATGTAAAGATGTTACAGAATAACTCCACCAAACAAGGACGCTCCACTAGAGAAATAGATTGCATTATGGAATTGGCCACCCAAATACCCTGAGAGAACCTGTTTCCGTACAGAAGAACCCTCCAACACACACCCCTAGTTGTCACCTACCATCCCACATTGGCACACACAGGAAGTATCATTAAACAATTACATCTTATACTTGATGGGGATCACATCCTGAAAGAAATCTTTCCTGAACCCCCTCTTCTGGCCTTCAAACGACCCTCCAACCTTTCCAAGCTCATTATCAGAAGTAAGCTCCCCACAGATCAGGACACTCCAATTCAAAGTAGCACCAGGCCCTGGCATAACAACAGATGCAAAACCTGCAGACATATCTCCACTGCTACGATGATCAACTCCCAGTACAACACTCCTTTCAAGATCCATGGGTCCTACACATGCCTCTCACAATACGTGATGTACCTTATCCAACACACTAAATGCCCCAATACCAACTGTGTGGGTGAAACCAGACAGTCACTATGTCTTGAATTCATACAGTAAAAGGATAAAAGACAAAAAGACCCTCTCACCTGTGGGCGACCACTTTTAACAAAATGATCACTCCATATCTGATCTCTCAGTTCTCATAGTCAAAGGAAACCTGTACAACACCTTCAAAAGACGAGCCTGGGAGCTTAAATTCATAACATTGCTAGACACTAAAAAATATGGTCTTAATAAAGGAACTGGATTTATGGCTTATTCCCAACAATGTATAACCCGCTAACCTGCCCCCTTTTTGGTCCTATGACTGGAGAATTGTTAACAAGCCACTTCACCTTGAATGGTCTCTTAGAATATGTGTTAACTACTTATGCTAAACAATCTGTGCTACCTTGTTTTTACTATCACACTCTTGAATATCTTTCCCAGACCTGAAGAAGAGCTCTGTATAAGCTCGAAAGCTTGACTCTCGCTCTCCAGAAGTTGGTCCAATAAAAGATGTTACCTCACCCTCCTTTTTATTATTATAGCTGTGGTTTTCAACCTTTTTTTTTTTTTTTTCCATTTGTGGACTTCTAAAACGTTTTGAATGGAAGTATGGACCCCTTTGGAAATCTTAGACATAGTCTGCAGACCCCCAGGGGTCTGCAGACCCCAGTTTGAAAACCATGGTTTTCTAGAATAAAAAGGCCATCTTAGGTAGACATTTGAATATTTGAGTGCATTTATCTTCTGGCACTTCTCAATTACTAGGAATTGTGGATGACTTGATGTCAGCTGGAGTTAGATGTTTTGGTCCCTCAGCCAAGGCAGCTCAGCTAGAGACTAATACAAGCTTTGCCAAAGCCTTTCTGGATTGTCATAGGATCCCAACAGCAAGATGGAAAGCATTTGCCAATCCTCAAGAAGCTTGTAGCTTTATTACCAGGTAAACCATCCATCACTTGAAGCTTATTCACTTTTTCAAGTATCTTGTATATTTGGTCTTACCCGTGGGCAACAAATACAATAGGCCAGGGAAGGCTAAACCTCCCCTGGCAGAGCCGCTGCTGCGGGACAGTAGGTTGCAGGTTTTTGCTTCTTATTATGCGCTATTGCAGGTTCCAGGGCAGCTGAGGCAGCGGTATCTGCTATTCAGTTTCCTGGGTTCATCAATAATCACCCTGGATTCCAGAGAGATTACTGATGAACCCGGGAAGCTGAGTAGCAAATACCACCTCCTCAGCCGCCCCGAACCTGCAGAGCATATATAAAAAGCTCATCGTTTGTCTGCTGGGCGTCTGGAGGTCTCGGGAGGCAAGGCGCACTGCCTTCCCAATTCTCCAGCTCAGGTTGGTCGGCCAGGTAGGGCCAGCCTGGGGCTCCTCCATTGGCAGGGGGAGCGGATTGGTGTTCCGCCAGTCCGGGGCTTCTCTGGCCATGGATGGGGGGGCGCAGGGCTCCTGACATGGGGGAGCAGGACCTCGTTTGGAAGGGGTTGGGCCAGGGGGCTAGCCTCCCCAAAGTGGGGGGTCTACCCACCGCCCATGATTTTACCTCATACTTTCTTTTACTTGTTGATGCTTTATTAGCTACTAGCTGTCATTAAGGTACTTTAATAATCAAAGACAAGGATGGCCATTGGGCAACTTTAATGGTACTAAGGGCCACAATGGCAGTTTTTCAAGTTTCAGCTCAGAGATCAGAGAGGTTTTTCTCTGTTAAACTACATAAGGATAACAGTTGGCCATCCATGATAAAGGAAAAAACTGATCTAAGAAAAATAATGTTATATTTAACTAAAGTTTTCTTCAGATATTTTATATATGGATCAGGCTCTCCTGTGTGCCATCACAGATTTCCGTGTTATTCCTGGAGCACTATGAAAGGATTCACATACTCACAGCTGAAGCTCGATTTCTTACTCGTTTAAGGCTAGATTGCATATTCCTTTCTCATGTTGGTGAGCAGTGATTCTAAGTAGTCCCACTGAAGTCAATAGGATTCTTTGGGGGAGTGGCTCACAATTGTGAAGAAGGGGTTCACAATCTGGCCTTAAGTAGTGACGCTCCATTACCATAGTTCAATTGACCACAGAAGAAAGCTACTGCTGTACAACTGTTCTAATCTACAGCCATGCATTGGCCCCACAAATTGTGTTTTCTCTTATGTCATGTATAACATGTGGTAGTATCAATGAGAACATGCATTTTAAAAAAAAAACAACCTCTCTTCTTACTAATTTTACCCAAACAAGTTCTACCACGCTATTTTCTATTACAGTTATGCAAAGGAACTTTGATATGTAAACAATAAAAGAACCTTCAACACAAAGAAGAAAAACCATCCCAGATTGGCATGCCATGCATTGCATAATATGAGCTTTGTGTGGTTGGTCCTGCTCCCGTTGAAGTCAACAATTGGGCTTTGTTGGAGTGGATTAAAATATGAAAAAGAAAACGTGCTATATCAGAATGTGTGTCTATTTGTATGTTGGTGTTATGAACAATCTGTTCAAATATTCCATTTAGTTTTACTATCCAATATCTGAGGGAGGAGGAAAGATGGATAAAATGTGGTTAAGCTATCTCTCGGAATTGGATAAATCATTTTATGCTCAAAGAATAAATGCTATAAAGTTGAGTAAAATACACGATATTCCTCATGTAACAAAGTAGCTGAATCCCTGCTTTAAGTGCAAAACTCGGCATTAATTATGACTGTGACCTGCACAGTGAGCAAATGTCAGAGCAAAAAGAAAAGGAGTACTTGTGGCACCTTAGAGACTAACCAATTTATTTGAGCATGAGCTTTCGTGAGCTACAGCTCACTTCACGAAAGCTCATGCTCAAATAAATTGGTTAGTCTCTAAGGTGCCACAAGTACTCCTTTTCTTTTTGCGAATACAGACTAACACGGCTGTTCCTCTGAAAAATGTCAGAGCCTGCACTAGACGTCAGGAGTTCTTGGTTGCCAGTCCTGTGCTTAGGCCACAAAACCACATTAAGTCCATCTGAAAATATGACATGTAAGATTGGTACAAGCAGGTACATTTTAATGTATTATTCCTCAGAAAAAGGGGAAATTTTCTAAGTGTTCAGGTTAGAAATTTACCTTTTAGAGGATGCATTGAAGATGTCCGATCCTGACTCTAATGTGCCCTGCCATCACTTATAGCACAGACTTTCCTGCGCTGGTTGTAAAGGCTAGTGGCCAAGCTGCTAGAAAAGAAGTAATTATTGCAGCCAGCAAAGAGGAAGCCTGCAGAGCTGTGCAAGAGATTTTGCAGGTAAGCTACCCTTTATTTAAATACTGTGAGGTCCGATTCTCGCTGCCCAGTGACCTGGAAGAAATTAATTTGGGGATCTCACTCCGTTCTCTAGACCGAACAGACAAGTGCTTTTCACCACAAAACCCACCACTTTGTTGGCCTGAGAGCTGAGTGGACCTTGAAATTTAATTATTTTTTTACCCTAGGGAGGTCCCTCCAGCTCAGGGCGGGTGTACTGGGAAGCTTACTCTGCTGCTGCCTATGCTATACCTGTTCTCTGGGTAAAAGGAAGGCTTCAGTCACCAAAACTAGCTGTTTCTTGTGACACTGGGCCATTTTCCTGATGCCTTGCCCAGGCACATAACTGGGCAGAGTTCCTCTGGGTGGATTCCTTTGACCCTTTCTCATGGCAATGGTGTTGACCAGTGTTCTCCCCTTGGTTTCCCCTCTAGATCCCTCATTTTGTATCTGTGATCTTCATCCCTGTTTTTTTGTCCCATATGTAATCAGTTAAGTTCTGGGTTCTGTGGCCCCTCTCTGATCTGAGGGGGGTGGTCTTTTCATTTCTTTGGTTGTCTCTGCCCACAATCCCAGGATTAACATAAACTGACTCTTTTCATATATTGTAAGTATATGTTTCCTTCTCTTTGCGATGCTTTTCTTTTTTAAAGAGAAGACATAATCTAACTGATGGATGTCACAGCTAATAACTAAAGAATATTTTTAATGCAGGATAGAGTGTTTGGAGAGGCTGGAGAGACGGTTGTCATTGAAGAACTTCTTGAAGGGGAAGAGCTATCTGTATGTTCAGTTTTGGCTCAATAGTTTGGTCACAAATCCTTTTATGCACTTGTATTGTTGTTACACTTTTTGCCTAAAAGCATGAATTCTTCATTTTAACTAGTTTGTGTTTTATATGGCTACTACATAAATATGTAAGAGATGCAATCTGATGTCAAGTTAGTCAATATACATTCTCAGTACAACTCTATTCTACATTAACTATAAATATGCAGTAACTGTGATCTGGGGGCAGGGGGGTGAATTGATCCTCTAGAGGAGAAAAAAAGTGTTTGCTGATTTTTAATATATTTACTTTGTTGTCCCAATGCTTAGTTCACTTTTTTTATCTGTAAATACAGCTGTGGTGCCTTCCTTGCTATAAACTATATGTTACTTCTCTTCAGGATAAAATGTAAGCTTACCTATGTGACACAGGTCTGGATGTTATGTCACAGTTATAAGATGAATTCTCTACACAAGATTTTACTCCATTACCAAAGATAATATTTTGCTCTCTTTTTAAACCCTGATCCTGCAAATACTTACAAACGTGCTTCATTTTAAGCACTTGAATGGTTCCACTGAAGTCAGTGGGACTACTCACATGCCTAAAGAAAGCATACATTTCAGTGGGCTTGTTGGATCAGGACCTTAATGTACCCAGCCCTGATAATATAGTAGAAGGAATTCTTATATGCAGCCCTCACCAATCAAAACCATTGTCTCCAGAAATCTTTGTTAATACCTAAATAAATAATTAAGACAGGCTACTCCTTGTAGTCAGTGGAGTTACAACAGGATGAATTTGGCCCATTGTTTTCTAGTTTTGAACCTTAAATACTAATGACAGGGCTAAATCTGTGGCCTTCTGAGCTGATTTCAGTTAATACAGAACATAACCATTTGAGTACATTCTGTGGTGTTTGTTTTTCTTTACAGTGCTTGTGCTTCACTGATGGTGTCACTGTTGCCCCCATGCCACTAGTCCAGGCCCACAAACGGTTAATAGATGGAGACGAGGGCCCAAACACTGCCGGGATGGGAGCTTATTGCCCGGCACCACAGGTTTAGTGATCTTTTGATTTTATTTTCCAAATTTACTTATGAAATGTAATTAAGCATTGATGAATTTGTTAATAAGGGCCCAATTCTGTTGCCATTATGTAGGCAAAACTCCCTGTGAAGTCAGTGCTTTGTTTGCATAAGGATATGGAGCCCCAGTCCTATTATGCATTCTTGGACTGGGAAATGGTCTCTCTTATGGCTTTTCTGTTAATTTTAGGAATGGTGTGCCTCCCATGCTGTTAGTAACTTTGGAAATGAGCATACACTTTAAAAAGTGGACCTGTGTAATTCCTGACATGTCTGGAGGCTTTCTGTATATTAAACATGACCTTAGTTAATGATTTCAGAATTGTTTTTTTGTTTGTTTGTTTTTGGTAACAAAGAATGTTTGTGACCAGCTGCTTAACACAGTAACATTAACCTGGGGAAGGAACACAAGCAAGAACAGGTTAAAGAATATTCAGATAAGTTAGATGTATTCAAATCAATAGGGCCTGATGACCGAGGATATTTAAGGAGCTAGCTGAAGCATTAACATTGATCTTCAGGAACCTGTGGAGGATGGGTGAGATCCCAGAAGATTACAGAAGGGCAAACATCTTTTGAAAAGGGGAAAAAAGAGGACGTGGAGAATTATAGATCAGTCAGCCGAACTTTGATACCTGGGAAGATACGGAAAGAAATTATCAAACGCATTTTTAAGCACCTAGAAGATAGTACTGTGATAAGTAATAACCAACAAGGATTTGTAAAGAATAGATTGTGCCAAATAAACTGAATCTCCTTCTTTGACAGGGTTATTAGCCGAGTGGATGCAGGGGAAGGAGGAGAAGAAGTAGATGTGATATACTGTATCCTGATTTTATTAAGACTTTTGACATAGTTCCAAGTGACATTCTCTTAACTACTAGGGAAATGTAGGCTAGATGAAATTACTATAAGGTGGGTGCACAAGGGTTGAAAGACCGTACTCAGAGAGTTGTTATCATTGGTTTGCTGTCAAACTGGGAGGACATATCTAGTAGGGTGCTGCAAGAGTCTGTTCTAGATCCAGCACTGTGTTTATAAAATTTGTGGATGACCCCAAGCTGGGTGGGGTTTCGTAAGCACTTTGGAGGCCAGGATTAGAATTCAAAATGACCTTGACAAACTAGAGAATTGGTCTGAAATCCACAAGGTGAAATTCAGTAAAGACAAGTGCGAAGTACTTACACTTAGGAAGAAAAAATCAAATGCATAACTGCAAAATGGGGAATAACTGCTAGTTAGATGGTAGTACTACTGAAAAGGATCTGGAGGTTATTGTTGCTTCATATTCAATTTGTGAACTACTAATATTAACCGGAGTGTTGTAGGTAAGACAAGGGACGTAATTGTCCTGCTCTGCTTAGCACTCCTGAGGCCTGAGCTGGAGTTCTCTGTACAGTTCTGGGCATAGGCGCTGAATATGCTTAGTACTCACTGGCAGCCAACCTCCCCCCTTCCCCTACAGCGCCTCCCGCCCGCCGGTAGCCCTGCCGATCAACTCTTCCCCCTCCCTCTCAGTGCTTCCTGCCTGCCGTGATCAGCTGTTCCACGGTGTGCAGGAGGCACTGGAGGGCAGGAGGAGAAGCGGGGATGGGGCATGCTCAGGAGAGGGGGCAGGAAGAGGAGGGGTGGAGGTGGGGTGGGGGTGGAGCCTGGGGGGAAGGGATGGAGTGGGCGGCGGGGCCTGGGGATGACTGGGGGCTGAGCACCCCCAGGAAAAGGAGGAAGCTGGCGGTTGTGCTTCTGGGGCTACATTTCAGGAAAGATGTGGACAAATTGGAGAGAGTCCGGAGGAGAGCAACAACAATAATAAAAGGTTTACAAAACCTGACCTATAAGGAAAGTTTAAAAAAAACTTGGCATATTTAGTCTTGAGAAAAGAAGACTGAGGGGAGACTTGATAAGTCTTCAAAGATGTTAAGGGCTGTTATAAAGAAGACTGTGATCAGTTGTTTTCCATGTCCGCTAAAGGCAGGACAAGAAGCAATGAGCTTTATCTGTAGCAAGGGAGACTTAAGGTAGATATTAGGAAAAAACTTTCTATTATAAGAATAGTTAAGTACTGGAATAGGTTACTGAGGGAGGTTGTGGAATCTCCATCATTGGACGTTTTTAAGTATAGGTTAGACCAGAGGTTCTCAAACTGTGGGTCGTGACCCTGTTTTAATGGGGTCACCAGGGCTGGTTTAGACTTGCTGGGGCCTGGGGCTCAAGCCAAAGCCGGGGCCCCACCACCTGGGTCTGAAGCCCAAGCCCTGGGTGGCAGGGCCCAGGTTACAGGCCCCCTGGGGCTGAAGCCTTTAGGCTTCAGCTTTGCCCCCGCACCCTGCCAGGGGTGGTGGGGCTCAGGCTTTGGCTTTGGGGCCCCCTGCCCGGGGCAGCGGGGCTTGGGTGGGCTCAGGCTTCAGTTCCCCCTCCTGGGGTCATATAGTAATTTTTGTTGTCAGAAGGGGGTCACATGGTACAATGAAGTTTGAGAACCTCTCGGTTAGACAAACACCTGTCAAGGATAGTCTAGGTATACTTGATCCAGCCTCAATGCAAGGCGCTTGACTCAATGACTTCTTAAGGTCCTGCAGAAATAACAAAGTATGTTGGGTGAAAATAGGCATATAGCAAGAGAATGTTATGGTTTTCAGGAGAAAAAGACAGTGTTGAAAAGAAATGTCGTGTGATAGCTCTTTAACCAGAGAAAGAGCTTTTTAATAAATAACATCTTGGTGCTATCTTACATTTTCACTGTAATTTAAATTCAGGCACTTCTTCTGGAAACATGACAATGTAACTGGTATAAAATAAATGGGTTATGATCAGTGCTTTTTAAGAGACTCAGATGAATTAATAATAAGAGGAAACATACCATAAAAGGCTTACGCTCTCAATTTGGAATTGCTCATCAGATTCCTGAAGCTCTTCTAGAGAAAATTAAAGACTCTATCCTGCAACACGTTGTTGATGGTATGAGACAACAGGGAACAACATATGTAGGTAAGTGCTCACCTGAATGATAGAGTAAGCACATGCCAAGTAATTCTGTTGAACTACTTTTGAACTCTAAATTATCTCCATCAAAGAAGAATGCACTAGTTTCCCATCCTACTTTAAATCTCCCCAGCACTGAAAGTTACAGATAGGCAAAGTAAGTAAAATGCTGCTTGAGAACCCATTAGAGTTTGATTTAAGGACATTCACTTTGTATATATTGACATGAGGTTGACAACTTGTGTTTTAACAGTTATAAAGCTTTTACTTTTTAAATCTTAGCATCTTCTGTCATTAAATAATTGTCTGATCCCACTCATAATTTTTCATATCTTTGAAAATGTAAATAGATTACAGTTTATTTTTAAGCTTTTTTTAATCTTTTTTGTTGAAATTATATAAAACTAAAATTGAGTTCTGCTGAGCCTAGCTATACAGTGCCACACAAATAAACAAATGTCAGAGTGGTAGCTGCGTTAGTCTGTATCAGCAAAAACAACAAGGTTACTTGTGGCACCTTAGAGACTAACAAATTTATTTGGGCAGAAGCTTTTGTGGGCTAACACCCACTTCATCAGATGCATGGAGTGGAACATACAGTAGGAAGATACTGCAATTCTTCAACAAAAAAACTTCAAAAACAGACTCTAACGAGAAACTGGAGAACTGCAATTAATTTGCAAACTGGACACCATCAAATTAGACCTGAATAAAGACTGGGAGTGGGTGGGTCACTACAAGAACTAAAAACTAATTTCCCCATGCTAATTTTCCCCCTACTGTTACTCACACCTTCCTATCAGCTGTTTGAAATGGGCCACCCTGATTACCACTACAAAAGTGATTTTTCCTCCTGTTGATAATAGCCCACTTTAATTGAATTGTCTCGTTAGAATTGGTAAGGCAACTCCCTTCTTTTCATGTGCTATGTATATATATCTTCCTACTGTATTTTCCACTCCATGCAGCTGATGAAGTGGGTCTTAGCCCACCAAAGCTTATGCCCAAATAAATTTGTTAGTCTCTAGGGTGCCACAAGTACTCCTCGTTGTTTTTACAAATAAACAAAAGTCTCCCCTGTACAGGAGGTATTCTTTGGGAGGTGTTTGTGCATTTTTCAAGGCCCCTTTACACCTTCAGGGTGGCTGCAATTAATGGGCTTTGTCAGAGGGTAGAATCTGCCCCTGTGTGTTTAGACTCTAACAACACTCAAATGTTTCTGAACTCGCTCTGTCCCTCTCTAGTATCTTCAGTAATCTATCACGGAATACATTTCTTATGGCACTGCTATGCAGTTTGCTGGATTTTTATGGGATTTTAAAGGGATTGCCATAGAATACAAACACTTTGCAGAACCCATGGTGAAGATTCCCTACAGTTTACATAAGTTTATCCCACATTTCAGTTTACTGCTTTTAAAGAAAGTGAAAAAACTGCTTTGAGCTAGCTTGTATAGTTCTGCTTTCTGTTCAGGTGTGCTGCAAACAGGATTAATGCGTACTAAAGATGATGTGAAAATTTTAAACTTTAACTGCCACTTTGGTGACCCGCAGTGCCAGGTGAGTGAGAGATGCTGGAAAGCTAAATATGCTCCATGTTCCATACCAGAATCTAATAACTTGCTACTAATGTAATTTACATAATTTAACAGGATGTATGTCATATCTACCACAAATATGGAAATTTACAAAAGAGCATCTTTGAGAATGTAGCAGTAACTATTAGAAATTTGCTTGTTAGCATTTATCTTCTGTGAAATGTTCATTGGCTTAGTTTGCAATTTGAGGTTATTGCTCAAATTGTGGTTTTTCTGAGTAGTAAAGGAGCCCAGACAAATTTGTGCTAAGTAGTTTCATACTTGGTCTCTACAGGTGATGGTTGCTTTCTGCCTGTTGCTAACAATGGATGAAATTTTCTTAGTGATAGTAAATTTGCCAAAAATGTGTGTTTGGTATACTGAAACTATCTGAATTCAGGTTGAATTCAGTGAACAGTTTCAGCTGAAAAAACCCTGAAAATAAAATTCTTGGAAATGTCAAAATGAGCTGTTTAGACAATGTAGTTTTGAAACAAATGTCAAAACAAAATGTTTTGATACAATTTTTGTTTTAAAACTAGCCAATTTTTTTGTTTTCAGACTTTTTTTGTCCAGCCACCAAACAGAAAAATCAATTTTTTCTCAGCTCTAGTGTCTGGGAATAATTGCTGTAAATTAATGTTCACTGATTTTATTTCCAAATCTGCAAATGTAGCAAAATATTTCTTGTTCTCCAACACATTTTTTGCTCACTAAGGTGAGCTTCATGTGAGTTTTAGTTTTTGAAGAAAAGCTTAATAAGTTTTTGATATTTAACAGTTAACAAAAAACATTTAACTAAATTGTTTAGCATACTTTTGCAGGTAATTCTTCCACTGCTTAAAAATGACTTTTATGAAGTGATTCAAGCAACAATTGATGGCAAACTCTGCAGCTGCATGCCAGCTTGGTCAGAAAACCGTACTGCTGTGTCTGTGGTTATGGCAAGTGAAGGGTACCCAGGAGACTATGCCAAAGGCCTGGAGGTAACAGGTAACTTCTTCTTAAATTCCAGATCAGGACTACTGCAAGGGGCCCAGTGAGTTTCATTTAGCAGAGAGCCATATTGTTACTGGTCCTGAGGAGGCACATGGGGAGAAGGGACTCCTTGCACCCGTGCATGGGGGACAGTCATCGTCACAGAAATGTAGGTTTACACACCTGTCCAAAGTACCACAGGGGCTAGCAGTTTCAAACAGCGCTCTCTCTAAGGACCAGACTGTGGCTTGGGGTTGGGATGAGAAGAGGGTTCTAGTGCAGTGGTTTTCAAACTGTGGGTCGCGACCCAGTACTTGGTCGCGGAATGTAAGGCACTGGGTCACAGCGGCTCTGGTCAGCACTGCTGACCAGGCCATTAAAAGTCCTGTTGGCTGTGCTGCCTGGCTAAGGCAGGCTGGTCCCTACCTGTTCTGACCCCACGCTGCGCCCTGGAAGCAGCCAGCAGCAGGTCTGGCTCCTAGGTGGGGAGGGGATGCGCTGCCCCCGCCCTGAGCACCGGATCTTCACTCCCAATGGCCAGTTCCCGGCCAATGGGAGCTGGTGGGGACAGTGCCTGCGGGCGAGAGCCGCTTGTGTGCTTCTGCCTAGGAGCTGGACCTGCTGCTGGCTGCTTCCAGGGCACAGCACCGTCTGCGGTGCCAGGACAGGCGGGAAGCCTGCCTCTGCACCACTGACTGGGAGCCACCGGAGGTAAGCCTGCACCCCAACCCTGCGCCCCAATTCCCTGCCCAAGCCCCACCCCAGAGCCTGCACCCCCCGCCCAGACCCCTGCCCCAGCTCAGAGCCCCCTCCTACACCCTGAACCCCTCATTCCTGGCCCTACCCCGCAGCCCTCACCCCTGCACCCCAACCCTCTGCCCCAGCCCTGAGTCCCTCCCACACCCCAAACCCCTCCTCCCCAGCTCCGTTGGGTCACGGGCATCAACAATTTTCTTCAACTGGGTTGCCAGAAAAAAGTTTGAAAACCCCTGGTCTAGAGCTCTAGGAGTTCCTGGTGGAATTCTGGCTGACCAATTCAGAATTTCTCCAGAGACTTTGTGGGGAGCACAAAATGGAGTGTCACCTTTTCACATGTGCTCTTGTACTAGCCCAGCTTTGCTGGCTTGTAGGTAAGGTGAGCCAGTTGTCTCAGCCAGACAATGCCATGCTAAAATTGGAACATCGCCACCTTGGCCTGTGTAATACTGAAAATTATTAACCTTTATAACAGGAGCAGAGTGCATTTCCCCTACACCAGTGGTTCTCAACCAGGGGTATATGAACCCCTGGGGGTACTCAGAGGTCTTCCATGGGGTACATCAATTCATCTAGATATTTGCCTAGTTTTACAACAGGCTACATAAAAAGCACTAGTGAAGTCGGTACAAACTAAAATTTCACACAGACAATGACTTGTTTATACTGCTCTATTATACGATCCACTGAAATGTAAGTACAATATTTATATTCCAATTGATGTATTTTAGAATTATATGGTAAAAAGGAGAAAGTAAGCAGTTTTTCAGTAACAGTGGGCTGTGATACTTTTGTATCTTTGTTTGGTCTTTGTAAGCAAGTAGTTTTTAAGTGAGGTGAAACTTGGGGGTGTGCAAGACAAATCAGACTCCTGGCTCCATAGTTCAGGGGTTAGAACACTGGTCTTGTAAACCAGGGGTTGTGAGTTCAAAGCTCACTGGGGCATGTACAGTAGCTTCTAGCAGTGTCTGTTGTCCCTCAGCAGTGAGGTGCTTTCCTTAGATATTTATTATGGGGGGGGGATAGCTCAGTGGTTTGAGCATTGGCCTGCTAAACCCAGGGTTGTGAGTTCAATCCTTGAGGAGGCCATTTAGGGATCTGCAGCAAAAATTGGGGATTGGTCCTGCTTTGAGCAGGGGGTTGGACTAGATGACCTCCTGAGGTCCCTTCCAACCCTGATATTCTATGATCCTATGAAAGGGGTACAATAGTCTGGAAAGGTTGAGAGCCACTGCCCTACACCATATCTGGTCTGCAAGTCCTTCCTCTGCACCAGCTAGCAAGCCTGAGCAGTGCAGAGAGGAGTCCATGTTACAAAGCTCCCACTGCACCATATGTTCCTGAAGAAATTGTGTCTGAGTCAAAGAGTGCTGCTGTTGCATTCCCCCTCCTCATCCTCTTCCCGTGCAGCCAGTGTTTTTATTTTGCTTATCCCCGTGGTGCTCTGAAGAAGTGTATATTTCAGTTACAATAACCCTAAATCTAATATGAGTAATAACAAAAAACAGTACATGCAAAGAAATCCCTGGTTAAGTTTGACACTTTATTCATAAGCCATTGCTTAGTGTGCATACATTTAACCCCCTGCAATATCTAAACTCTTCAGGACAGAAGGAAATGAGAATCTTTGCATATCACAACTAGAATATGATTGCCCTATGTGTTTTTCTGTTGCTTACACTGTATGTAGAATGTGAAAAACATATGCCAGAATAAACTGTTCTCTTAAAACGTTAGGCACAGGAGTTAATTTGAAATCAGAGTCATGAAGCACAGCCAGCTGTCGTTAAGCTCTGACCTTCACTGCAGTGCAGCCTGCATAGCAATGTGACACATTATAATTGCAGCAAGTGGAAAGGGTTTCTTTTGCTGGTAAAAACACTTCCTTGCCTATTGTGAAATTGGGAGTGTCACGGAGTCCCCGGGTGATGCTCTGGAACTGCTCCCTATGAAGCCAGTCAGGACTCTGGGGAAGTCTCCTTTCTGTGAGCAGACTGTCTTCAGGACACACAGCTCACACCTTCCTGGGTCTGACCTCAGAGCATTCAGCATCCTCTGCCCCTCCGTGCACTTCCCACAGCGAGTCTGCCCAGGCAGGCTCTTGGGAAAGCCAGAGGGTCCTGCACCCCAACTTCGCAGTCAGACATGACTCTCAGCCAGCCAGTAAAACAGAAGGTTTATTAGACGACAGGAACATGGTCTAAAACAGAGCTTGTAGGTGCAGAGAACAGGACCCCTCAGCCGGGTCCATTTTGGGGGGCAGTGAGCCAGACAACCACGTCTGCACTTCACTCCTAGTCCCCAGCCAGCTGCAAACTGAACCTCTCTCCAGCCCCCCCTCCTCTGGGCTTTGTCCCTTTCCCGGACCAGGAGGTCACCTGATTTCTTTGTTCTCCAACCCTTTAGCTCTCACCTTGCAGGGGGGAAGGGCCCTGGCTATCAGTTGCCAGGAAACAGGGTGTTGGCCATTCTCTGTGTCCAGACCCCTGCACACACCTGCCCTCTAGGGCTCTGCAACGATCATACACCTTTACCCCACCACCTAGATACTTAAGAACTACATGGGGAAACTGAGGCACCCCCACACTATTCAGAGGAAGAACCTTAAGAACAGTCCCGCTTCGTCACAGGGAGTTGCTATGTTGGATTTTTCTGCCTAATGATGATAGTAGCAAATTTCTCCCTCAAAAATAACCTCAACAGTAAACCCCCCAAATCCTCTCTCCCCACCCAAAAAAACCCCCTTATTTTCTAGTATGTATTGAAAGAACTAAAGGTTTTTAACTTGCTTAAACAATGACTAGGGGTGAGGAGACAACCATCTACAAATATTTGAAGGGTGCAGATTCTGTGGAGGGCGAGGAATGGTTCAGGGTGGTCTAAGCAGTATAACTAGATGTAATAGGATGAAAATTAAAATACAGGATGAATATCAAGAAAATATTCCAAATAACGAGTTCTTCTGGCATGTGGAATAGTATCTCAAGGGAAGCCTTGTCTCTAGCATCATTTAAAATTAGACTGGACAAGTTCTTCAAAAACATGGTGTTGAAAACATCTTGCCATGGCAGGTGGGTGAGTTTTAAATGTCCTAATGCATCTCTCTTATTCTATGAACTGCTGCTCTTGAGGGCAGACTCAGCAGGAAGGTTTAGGATAGAATGGGCATGTGAAGTGAGCTACTCTCTCACCCTGGAAGTAATCTTTTCCGGATACACACATTGGTGAGGAAGTGTAAGGAAGCGTGTACGGCCACTGCCTGTCCTGTACTTGTGCAATGAGGCAGAAAAAGAATTTCAGCTGCCAGCGCTGTCACCAGCATTATATTTTATTTAAAATAATGAGATCTAATTTTGCTTTCATTTTTGTAGGACTTCGACAAGCGAGAGAGCTAGGGGTGGAGGTGTTCCATGCAGGCACAGCCATGGAAGGTGATAAAGTGGTGACTAATGGTGGCAGAGTCCTTACGGTAACGGCTATCAAGGAGGATCTGATGTCAGCACTGGAAGAAGCCAACAAAGGAGTAGCAACCATACGGTTCAAGGGTGCCATTTTCAGAAAGGACATTGCTTATCGGGCTATAGCTTTCCTCCAGCGGTCTGTGTATGTAAGCAAGGGCACTAGCAGAAATAGATGCTTGCCTAGCCCACAGCCATTCATATTGTTCTGATTCTGTGATGAGCAACAGTGATGCAGAAAATGTCACTATAACCTCAAATGTGCCCCCTTTTCTCTTTTTCAGAGGCCTGGTACATGATGATGTAAGTGTATACACTCTAACCAGCAGTGCTTTGATTAATCAATCTGAACCACCAACTGCAACTGGTAGTAGATCAGGTAAGGTTAGAACAGTTCTGCAAACTTCCTCTATTTTGAATGAAACCTGAATTTCTCCTAAGAAATGAACAGACTGACCTTTCCACTCAGGCGAAACACCTGGCACTGGTATCGCTAATGAGGCAATATCACTTGTATGCGATTGAATCAGGGGTTTAAATCATCTTTACCAAAGAGAATTATCATTTTCTTCTGTCTTTCTTGTTTGTTAAACCAGGGGAATGACATTCTCTTTCAGTTACATCCCTGGCTTGACCTTGACACACTAGACAAGGGGAACTTGTGGAATGAGAGCTTGCTGTGAAGTGAAATGTTGGATCGTCAATTTTTTAAGATAGTATGAAACCAGTAAAGTTTGGGAACCATTACACTAGATTACTGTAGTATAACAAACCTTGCAACTAGCTTTCTAGTAGAATATTATGTCAGTGTCCACTGAAGTAATGCTGTATTACCACTAGTCAACTGTTAACAGTAGTTCTTGTACCAGCTTCATATATTGTTTTAACAGTGTATGATATGCAGACAGGTATCTGTGATCTTGCTACTGAACACTGAATTTTGAGGTCTGCTGTTCACGCTGTGCCTTTTATTAGTAACAGTCATGTGGTCTGAGGAAGGCTTTCTGTTACATAATTAGTTTTTAAAGTGAAATAAGAAAGATTATCAGGTAACAAGGGATCAGTTGGTAAATACTGGTCACGAGTGATTTTTGCTGTAGATACACTCTAATTTACAAAATAATAGGCTGTAAATATTAGTTATGACAACGTGAAATATGTGATTTCAGGATCTGTACTTCATATGATTGTACATGTTTCTAGTTTAGTCGGTGAGACCAGTAATAAGTTGTCCAAGCTGTAATGATTTTCACTAGTAATGCTTGTTGTTGTTTCTTTTCCTTAGAATTACCTAAAAGTTGTCCTGGGCATTTTTTTGTACTTGGCAGGCAGCCATGCAGATCTGGGAGGCTCTACTGATCTCTTTGACTTGAAAGCAACTGGTTATGATGATCCTATCTTGGTATCTCGAGCTAAAGGCATTGGAACTAAACTGCAGGTAACCACTGGTATGCCCATACCAGAGCTCATGTTTGCTGAGAATTTTAAAAACAGCACAATATATTATATAGCTTACAACTCTGAGCATTGTAAAGACACTGGAGGTATGTCTACATTGGAATAAAAGACCCGCAGCTGGCCCAGATCAACTGATCTGGGCTCAGGCTGTGGGACTAAAAATTGCTGTGTAGATGTTTGGGCTCAGGCTGTAGCCTGGGCTCTTGGACCCTCCCCCCTTGCTGTGTCCAAGAGCTTTGGCTCCAGCCTAAGCCCAAATGTCTACAGACCAAATTTACAGCCCCACAACCTAAGCCCTGCGAGCCCAAGTCAGCAGACTTGGACCACCTCTGGGTGTTTAATTGTTGTGTAGACATACCCTACAAGTCCACGCTAGTCAAATGATATGAGATGCTGCTATCACACACTCATAACAAATATCCTACACCCACCACCACCTGTCTCCCTACAGCCTCACCACCACAAGTATGTTGCACTTCCTAGATTAAGCTAATTGAGACTCGCGTATATGTGCGTGTACGTATTTGGGAGTAAATGAAAGTTCTAGAACAGCCATGATGATATTTTGACTGTTGAGTGTTTCCTACTGGGGAAGCCTAGTACCACGCTTTCTCCCCAACAAATCAGCAGAGGACTGTCCCCAACTCTGTCTTACATTCCCTCACTCCCGAGACTCTTCCTTGGCTGACAAGAGTTTGTTAATGCCCATCAATGCTGTTTGCTAGCTGAACCAGAGGGATTGTTACAGTGTGACAAAAGATGCTGAATAACTTAACTCCATAGTGCTCCCAGTCCCCACTGGTCTGGGGTGAAAGAGTCCTGGCTTTGCAAACCAAACCCAGATTTTGCATGTGAACCTGATCCAGCACCCATTGAAGCCAATGGGAGTCTTTACTTATGTTTTCCGCTCAATCTTTCTGTACTGAATTGTTTTGTACTGGTGTAGCTACATGAGTGCAACTCCCTACTGTAGATAGGGCCAAACATTCAGCCCTACACAGAAATTTTTTCTGCTCGTTTCATCCAGTGTAGCTATCAGTTACCAGGGTAAGTTGCACTGATGCAAGCCCTGATTTGCATCAGTGCACTGTGTCTGCATTAGCAGTTGGCACCAGCGTTAACTGCACTGCCATAGCTACACCAATGTAAACAAACCCATCTGTAGTTACACTGGTGTAAATTTCCCTACTTTAGAGAAACCCTCAGTGACAGTTGTTATGGGAAGCAGAGATGAATGTATACAAGCAATATGGTAATCTTAAAAATAAATAAATTAGAAGTCTTTCTTGGGGAAACCAGACTTAATTTTGTGTGTTGATAAATTGTATAATCAATTGCTTGACCATGCTTTGGTTCATTATTTCGTTATGAAATATACTCAAGGCCAAATAACCAGCGTCTGTCAGGTTTATTAATATGGTACAGGAAAAAGGTTCTATGGGGTACCAGTTTCTGAAGAGCAGTCCCATGCAGGTATGTTATATGCACCTTATGAAGAAAGCATGCTCCCCAAGTTACACGCTTCAGCTGGTATTATTGATGTGGTTTTGCAAATTTTACGTTTCTTTACACATCACTAAAATCCAACTGTTTGATCCAGTTCCCTAACTTGTTGTCCTGTTGCTTCCTTATTGTCATTTTGGATACTAGCATTCCAGGTATTGTACTAAGACATAGGAAACTTGTCAAAATCAAGATACATACATTCATGCCGAATGCGTGCTTCAGCAAATGCAAGGTGTTATGGGATACTTAGCATTCGTGAACAGGATTATGGGATAGGCCAGTTTAGGCTATATTGCTGTTACAATGTTTGTGCTTAATGTTACTGGTGTTTAATACCTACTAATATACATATGGTTCAGGAAATACATATTATTAACATGATATATTTATATCTAGCCAGCATGTATTAGTAAACAGTATGACTTTTAAGATTCCATTCAAGGCCCTGCATTCCAGTGGAACAGTTCCAAGTTGTCGTCCGTGACAATGAGATGGGGCTTCTTTATCAGAGAGGGTCAGTGAAATATCACTGGAAGGAGGAAGTCTCATCCCCTTTACACCTAATAAAGCAAAAGAAAGTTATTTAATGATGCTCTTTGAGTTTTGCTATGTTGTTAAATGAAAACAATAAACTAAGTAGTACAGAACGCAAAACCATGTTTGATGGATTAATTTTATATAGATATTGATAAGCACATACTGTAGTTATCATGAAGAAACTGATGGATGCCCCATCACTTTAGGACAATCTAATATTGGACTCGGCACACAATTTTAAAAAACTATATTGAAGGGACAAATTCTGCACAGGCAGAGAGCCAGGAGGTGAACTAGATGATCTGACAGGACTTTCCCATTTCTGATTTCTATAGTGGACAGCGGAGGTGATTGTCTGCTTTTCTTTCCTCTGACGTGGCAACCATGTCAGAGCTGCTGTTTGCTTCCTATCACAGCTATAAATTGGTTCTCTCACTGTCTTGTTGCAGATTGCACAGATGTGTAAGAAACATGACACCCTTGGCCAGGACTTGGTTGCCATGTGTGTCAATGACATCCTGGCTCAGGGAGCAGAGCCCCTCTTCTTCCTCAACTATTTTGCCTGTGGGAAACTTGACACTGAAGTGGCTCAAGCAGTTATAGCGGGAACAGCTGAAGCTTGTAAGAAGGCAGGATGCACTCTCTTGGGTACGAGCACTCACTTCCTGTATGGGATTTGAAGGTTCTGATATAAAATTTACTGCCATTAGTATGCAGACACTGAGCCTGATTCTCCTCCCTCACTTAATCTGGTGTAAATGGGAGCAGAATTTGAGGTGCTGGATTTTTAGTGCACTAAAAAAATGTCCAGTCCCTCTCCAAATAGAAATATCCAGTATGGGGAACTTCCCCTCCCCACCCAGAGGTGCCATTTTGATTTTGTCCCAGAAATCTGTGCTCAGATAATACTTTTCCCCTTCCCACTTTTCATTTTTGTAACTCTGAGCTTAACTTTTTGGTGGCCCTTTGAAGTAAGAAACACTTTTCTGGATTTGTTTTGAAACATGCAGTTTAAGCTGTGCCTGTCTTTGTAGCAACACTGAATATGTCCCCAATATGAAAACTTGCATCCAATGAAGTGAGCTGTAGCTCATGAAAGCTTATGCTCAAATAAATTGGTTAGTCTCTAAGGTGCCACAAGTACTCCTTTTCTTTTTGCGAATACAGACTAACACAGCTGCTATTCTGAAATTTGAAAACTGTCATTGATTCCACATTAGAAATGAAATGCGGATGTGTTTACAGTTAGTGCTGCCTTCTTTCTACCTTCCCCTAGGAAGAGAGACTGCTGAATTGCCTGGCATATATTCACCTGGAGAGTACGACCTCGCTGGCTTTGCAGTTGGTGCAGTGGAACGAGGCCAAATGTTCCTGCAGCTGGAGAGAGTTGCTGAGGGGGATGTCATCATTGGACTAGCTTCTTCTGGGATTCACAGCCATGGCTTTAGCCTTGTAAGGAAGATTCTCTTAATGTCTTCCCTGCACTACTCATCTCCAGTACCTGGTGGATGTGGTGACCAGCCATTAGGTATAATAATATCTGCTTTTTAAAGGTGAACCTTCCTGGAAGTGAATCCAGTTCAGTTATTTTCTTAAATAGACACTGGCAGGGTTTTTAGATCTCAGGATTGAATTTCCTAGTTATGGTTGCCACCAACCCAGTTTTAGGCCCATGGTCCAGTTCCTTGGTTTCTGAGATCTTTCATCCATTTCCCCACAGTGTGGTGACACTTCTTGCAGTCTTCCCACGCTACTCTTGGCAGGTCCTATGTCCCAGAGATAGCAAGAGGAATGCTGATAAAAGCATAACTTCTTGTATTGCCTGATAAAAGTGCTTCTGCACTGATTTTTATCTCTAATGATTTTGTAAACTTTTATGATCACAGGAGAACTATTGCTAACTCCAACCAAAATCTACAGCAAGGCTCTGTTGCCTGTCCTTCGTTCAGGGCACGTGAAGGCCTTTGCCCCTATCGCTGGTGGGGGGTTACTGGAAAGCATCCCCAGAATCCTACCTGAATCATTTAGTGTATTTTTGGGTAAGTGTAAAAAAACCTTTTCTGTTATAGGTAAATGACATCTAATATAGACCTGTTTTTTTTTTTTTTTAAAGCCTGGTCTTAAGGAGACTTAGGGTATGTGTATATTCCACAAGCAGAGGGGGAGGGGGCAGGAATCCCAGTTGTGAATCTCGGAGCGAATCTCAGAGCCTGAGGCTACAGATTTGGCCTCATGCTACGGTGCTAAAAGTAGCAGTGTAGACATTTCTACTTGGGCTGAAGCCTGGGCTCTGAGACCTGCCCACCATGCTGGGTATTGGAGCCCAGACTCCTGCCCAAGCAGGAACAGCTACAGTGTTATTTTTAGTGCCATAGCGTGAGCTTGAGTCTGTGGACCCAGGTTCTAAGACTTGCTGCTGTGGGTGTTCTTTTGCAATGTAGACATATCCTTAGAGGTGAAGTACCATAGGTCCACAGCCTCTGGGTGGCTTAATGGGCACAAAGCAGGGGCACGGTCTATAAACATCTTGCTTAAAATGTTTGTTTTATAGTTTTAACAAGTTTCAGCAAAATCTGTAGCTGTTAAGGAGCATCTGTTTCTAGGAGGGGCTAAGAATTCATTAAGATAGCTTCTGCTTCTCAAACTGCGTACTCAGATTGAACGTTAAGCGCTTGGTAAGGGAGTGAAATTGTACACTTTGGGCTACTGTCTATATATATCTAATATAGTGTTCTGGAAAGGCAGTAGCTTCTCGGTTTCCATTACAAGTCTGATCTTGGCCACCAGCCAAAAGTCCACAGAACTGAATGTCAGACAGAAAATTAGCACATAATGTCTGTAGCTGAGAGAAAAATTTCTCTCAGATTTTAAGTAAATTGGACAAAGTATCTATAAATTACAAGATATTAAAAACATAGGTGTTCAGCAGAGTCCACAAAGTCTTCTAACATTCTCTGTCCTTCAGTAGAATGAAAATAGAAAGGAAAGAAATGAAAACGGAGTATACTCCGTTTTCATTTAGTTATGCCCACGATCTAAGATTAGATGATAAAATTCAAATTTTATATAGTTATGTCAGAATGGTGTGTTGGCTCTGTCAGCTTAAAATAGGCCACCAATTGACTACAGGAGACAAACTTTCATTTAAAAAAAGAAAAGTCTCTCTAGTTCTCTTCCTGTGGAGATAAATTTGCAAGGGAGGCTTGTCAATAGAGAAACGGTCTAGCAAAGCTGGAGCTAATTAGACAAGTTTGTAAATTAAGACACTAAAAAAAGGTATTCATCACAGTTAGAATATTCTGTCTAAAATTTTTGCCAGATCTCAGCTTGAGAGTGAACAGTCTGAGATAATTAATTAAAATTAGGTCTGTTGGGTTTCTCTCTATTTGCAATATGGTGCATGGGACCAAGCTTCTGAACTTTACAATCAAGTTTTAAAGGTTACTAAGTGTTCAAATAGGAACATGAGGGCACAGCGGGCTATGACCAACATTGCACTGCTCCTGATGAACCTTGGGAAAATCAGTAGGGTGCTGATAAACTTTACAAAGTATGCTGACTGCTGGCTCAATGGCAGTGCACCAATTCACCCTTCAGTGCACACAATTACCTATCATAAAGTGTATGGCAGTGTTTCCCAAATGGTAGGTCCTGATAGAAAGTTTAGATGAGTCGTGAGGCCCTAGGTAAATATACACTTGTTCCAGCTTGATGTAGAGGGGAGACCTGGGAGGTTGGAAAATGGCCCTGCCCCACGCTGTCACTGCAGCAGTGGCTCCTGTCCTGCAGGGCTGGCCCAGCTCCCCACCCCAAGCATTGAGACCCAGCACAGGGTCACAGCCCCACTCAGGTTTGGCCTGGTTGTCTCTCCCCAAACCCGAGTGACGCTGCATCCCTCCCCGGCCTAGCTCTGTGAGACAGGAGGCACCATGTCAGTGTGGGATGGGCTCGCCCTCTAACCCCCTTTTCCCCACTTCCTGTCCACACAGGGCCAGTATTAGGATTGTGGTACCAGGGTGGAGGTTGCATAAATGTAATGGTGTGTCACAAAGAAAAAAAAAGAAAGAGTGCAGTGGTGGGTTGCTTATTAAAAAGTTTGGGAACCACTGGTCAGTAGCAAACTCCTCTACTCTCTGAATTCAGTCACTTTGAGCCACCTGCACAGCACAAGGCAACCCCTGCACTTTCCACAGTGGATGTAAATGGCCTGGGGCTTGACGTTTCTGACTGATCTGGGACAAATGTCACTTTGCTCTATCACTGTTCATCTACAGCAGTATGTTTTCAATGGGCTGTGCAATGCAGTTCCCATAAGCTTTAATGTGTGTTGCACAGGAAGATAGCTGCCCAATGGTTTTAAAATGTAGAAGATATTATCGATTATACAATGGTTTATATCCAACACTTTTGCCAATCTATAAACATTTCAATCATTTTCAGATGCTTATAGTTGGCGGATACCTGAAATCTTCTCCTGGCTCCAAACAGAGGGGAACCTTTCAGAAGAGGAGATGGCCCGAACGTTTAATTGTGGGATCGGTGCTGTCTTGGTGGCAGACAAGGAGCTGGCTCAGCAAGTTCTGAAGGATGTACAGAGGCATGAGGAAGCCTGGCTGATTGGAAATGTAGTCCCAAGCCACACAGGTTACTGGACCTCTTAACTTGAAATAAGAAAAATGGAATTCCATTCATTAGGGCCTGATCCAAAGTCCACTGAAATAATGAAAAGCCATTAATTGATTTTAAATGGGGTTTGGACCAGGCCCTTAGAGATACCCTATTTAAGCTGTATACCGACACAAAGTAGATCATTAAGGATCTAATCCTGTGAGGTTCTGAGCACTTATTAGGAGACAACATGCTTTCACGTGCACTTCTCCTCCACTCCACACCCTGTAGAACTGGGTCCTTCATTCTGCAGTATAGATCAAGTGAGAAGTAATTTGTTACTAGAGATGAACCTTACTAAGTCAGTGGACAGAAATACCTGAGAAATTGCTTGAAACTTAGGCAAATCTCCCTACAGTGTCTACAGCCATATAGGCACTCCTAATGTTATGGCTGCAATAAAAGAATTATTTCTTTGGGTCATATTTTACCAGCATTTTGACAACAAAACTCCCATATGACGATAGCAATAGTTATTTTGTGCAAAGTTTGAGGGTAGAAGATGGCTACTGTTACATGCTTGTATGTCTGCCAACTGGTAGTTAGATCATCCCCAGTTAGGTGAATCTCCATTAAGTAACTCCATCCACTTAGGTGTGCATGCAGTGAGACTTTCACCAGGCCCTTTATGAGCCGCAAGCTGCAGCTTTAGTAAGGGAGACATGAGGAAGTTTTGGTTCAGTTGAGATCACTTTTAGCATCCCCTGTAGGGCAGCACGAGGTTGGGAGGAAGGGAGGGTAAGATAAATGTTTGATATGGGATGGAAGAGATCTGTTAATACATCTTTACTATTTTAGGTCCCAGTCTTGCAAACTGTTACATGTGAGTAACTTTCCACATGAACTCAATGGGATTAGTTAAGTTATTCACGTCTATATTTCAAATATTGCATAAGTGTTGATGTTAGCATAAATTATCACTGATAGGTTTGCTTAGTTGATTCTAAATGGAAAGGTATTTTGATATTTTACTTTGAAGGATCTTCTCATGTCAAAGTCAAGAATCTCCTTAAAGCCTTGCAGTTAAAGAGATTCCAGTTTCTGCAGAATGCTGCTGATGTGGACAGTCACCTGCATGTCGAGCCCAAAAAAAGCAAAGTGAAAGTAGCTGTTCTCATCTCTGGAACAGGTGAGTTTGCATTTTTCATCGCACACAATGACATCCTAACACATGAAAGGCCAAATTCAGCCCCACTGTAAGCATTTGCATCTCCATTTACTTTACTGAAGTTGTACTTTCTTAAACCAGGGCTGAATTTGACCAAAGGTTAAAAAGATGTTCTGTACTAACCAATGAAAAACATTACTTGTATGTCACAGGGTGGGTGGCCCTTCTATGAGGAGATAAGTCTTAGCCCATCTGTGACACAGTTGACTTGCCATCCCACACTGAGAGAATGAATTAGTCACATGACAGCCAGTCATGAGACTAAAGCAGCGCTCTGGGAGGGTAGAAAAACGGAGACCTGTGGACAGCCAATGGGGGACTGCTGAGTGAAGCTACAAGAAGTCTCCTGCAGTGATCCCTGAGGAAGGAACTTGGGGCTGGGTAGAAAGACCCAGCTGGAAGATTTGTTTTCCGTTTTGGGAGAAGGCCAAAAAGGCAGGCCAGGGCTTGTCTTCTCCATTGTCTCCAAGAACAAAGGAAGAGACAGTACCTCAGGGAGGAGGGGCTGTGCCCAGCTTAAGGCTCAGTGAAAGACTTTTTTGTGTGTGTTTGGAACTTTTTGTTAAAACCAGATCCCAGGATGGGCTGTTATTGGACTTGTGAAAGTCTCTTTATTTTGAGTTATTGAGTATCGGAGGGGAAACTGAGGCAGGGGACCACAGAGCCACCCTTGACCACAAGGGAGCATGTGGGAGGCAACTGACCTTGTTGCACACTGCTAATCAACAAATTCTTTAGTCCTTTTCCATTTGAGTGCTTGTTAAAGCAGATAGTATTTTCATGCATCCAAACACTTTGATGAAACATATGAGAGGATGCTAGTAACATATTGTCGCTACCTTGCCAAATCAAATAAAACCCATGTCAATAGTGACCACAAATATTATCTAATGGTTGTTTGGTGAACTGATGTGGTGCTCTGTCTGATTCTCAGTGGACAGAAACCACCACTACCACGCCTGGCACTAGCTGGTCCCCCTACTGTCACTCTCAGGGCTGGTCTCCACTTGAAAAGTAGATCAACCCAGGGCAAATCCTGCTCTTGTCCATGTCTGTCAGGGTCAGACATAGCTGAACCATTATAGTTTTGTTGTGTGGAAAGGGGCAAGATTTGGGGAGTCTGCACCCATTGCATACCAGAGCCCAGCTCAGTGGCATGTCTTGCTGTATCCCGGTACCGGGGAATGGAGCAAGAGTGGATACATAGAGGGGGCATGCAGTAGTGTATGGGGCTGTTGCTGGTATGGGATCCTGAAAGCAGTCTGTGGAGGGACTTAACCCTCATTACCTGTGAGGCAAGGGAAAGAACCCAGTTAGTCCTGCTCTGAACTTGTGGGTAACTAATTGCCTCCTGGCCAGAGGAGGAGTAGTCTTGTAAGTAGACTGAGGGAGGTTAGTTGGGGAGAGACTGCTGAGGAGACAGGCCTTTCTGGCAAGAAAACAAACAAATAAAAAAACCTCACCCCCTATCCCAGGGCTTCAAGTAGGTTGGATACAATGGAGGGAGAATGCTACAGGAGCAAGTTAAGCTTCTGCAGGAGAAGCCCTGTGGTAGGGCCAGTAAGGGAACGACAGTAAAGCCCGATAGGGGCATAAGGGCAATTTTTTGAAGACTCATTTGGATTAGTTTGTGCTACCCTAGAAAGAGTTTAGACTCTTATGTGACTTGACTGAAGGGCCAAGTCATACAACAGCCAGAGGGGGGGTTGAGAGAAGATGTGGGCAGAGAGAGGCTAAGGAACTAGCCACTATGGGTGGCAGGGGGTGCAAGAGGCAAAGTCCCCTGCAACACTGCTTCCAAGGCACAAGGGGATGGTGGGACACACACGCAGCCAGAGAGAGACCTAGGGCACGGTGGATTCCTTCCTCTCTGCCCCACCATTAAACTCCCTGAGCCACACCTGGTTCCTTGAGTTGGTGTGTGGAAGGGGTGTGTTTATCCCTTAAGGCCTGACCGTAAGCAAACAATTCTTAAAAACTGTTTCTAAAAATAGTATGTGCATGAGATACAGCAGCCCTGTGACTGTGGTTAGTTCACACAGAGTTTACCTCTTTTAATATAAAAGTTTATTGGATTGTTTCATGTTCATGTGTCTGAAGTGGAGAGTATAATCCTTTCAGACAGAAATAATGCTTTAGATGCTGAACAGTACTTAGCACACCACAAGGCCTTGATCTCTTAGGGGCTTCTGGGAACTCCAGTAATGTATGTATGAAGTGGTGATGTATGTGGAGCCAAGACAATGCTGGTGCATTAAAATACATAGATAATATAGAGAAGTGGCCATATTTTTTAGTAGGCATCATTTACTGCACCTGTAAAACTTACATGCGCAAACAACTATGTATAAGCGGACATTTACATGCACAAAAAGGAACTGATGCATCCAAATAGGACACTTACCTGAACCAGGCACTGTCAGCATGTATGAATGTGGCTTGTTCTGTGTGGAAATGGATGTGCCTACACAAATGTTGTGGGCTTAATAATGGCAGCCCATGGAAATGTTGAACATAGTTTATTTTGTGGACCCCAAAGACATAATTTGTTGTATTAAGTTGTTAAGATTTGTGTTCATAGTTCCTATCTCTTTGTAACAGATATTCTTTTTTGAGTCGTGTCCCTATGGGTGCTTCAGGTGTGCATGTGCCTCTCAAACCTTTGATCAGAGATTAAGTGTGGGCAGTGTGCGTTTAGCCTATGCATGCACCCCATGCCTCCTCATGCTAGACACCGAGGCTATTTTGGGATGCGCTCAGTTACTTCTCAACCACCCTGGCCTGAGATAGATCCTTAGCATGTCAGCCTTAAGCGTGCTTCAGCTGTCTTTTATTGTACTTTTCTATAGTTTTGTTACTATCAGTTAGTCGTTAATAATTGTTATAGTTAGTTGGGTAGAGATAAGTGGTGAGAGGTGTGTTTTGCTCCTCTCTCCCCCCTCAGAGAGACTTATTTTTCCTGGCAGGGCATACCTGGCTTGCCACACTTCAAATATTGTCTCTCTTGCAAAGAGGCTACACCTGTTAGAGACAGCCACTCGAAGTGTATCCATTGCTTGGGGGAGTCCCACCTCTCCCAGAAGTTCAACGTCTGCCTGGCCCTCAAGTCCAGGGCAAGGAAGAGCAGGGAGAATGAACTGAGACTGTTGCGGATGGAACACTCCCTTTGGCCAGCTTCTGAGTCAAGTCAGGAGACACCCCCTGCCCTGTACATCTGTCTCTGGACAGATCCAGTGTCCTTCAACCACAGCACAGCCTTCCCTTAATAAGGGGAAGACATTGGAGGCTTCAGGGAAGACCTCTAAAAAGAGGGGCATGGAGGCTCATCTTAAGAACCCAGCTCCAAAAAAGCCCAGGTACCCACCAAGGTCTACAGTCTCAGAAGCCTCAACCTCTTGACTCTGCACCATTGAGTTGAAGGACCTCTCCTCCAGTTCTGGCTGGGCTGGAAGGACTTGGAGCTTGAAGAAGAGATACTGCTCCAACAGGGTCTCTGTACCCACCAGTAGAGACAAGGAGGGCAAGTGTAAGCGCTTCAGATTGGCACTGTCTGGCTGTTGGTACCTACCCATTTGGCACTTCAGTACTGAACGAGCAACTACACCAGACATCATCTGTGCATACGTCCGTATAATCACCATCAATAGCACCCTTGGCTTTGGCTACCATGTCTTCACCTACTGCATCAGCACTGATCTTCTACTTGCTTGTAATGGATGAACTGGAGGCTTCACTCATAGGTACTGAGAATCTCTGTATACCAAGACCCTGATCTCCAGACCACCATCCTCCAGTACCGCAGGACTCTTCAGCCTTTTCTGCGGGTGCTCTTTCACTGGATGATATTGAGGATGAAGGAGACTTCTGGTTCGTCTCTTCTCTCTCTGTTCAGGATTCTCCAACATATCCTTTCAGGAACCCATTCTTTGACAGCCACAAGGATGTTTGCACTTGTCATAAAGGGTGGTGGAACCAACCCTGCATGCCACCCCACTCCCATATGGGACCTCCAATGGCCATACTGGGACCCTGGGCTGCATATTGGTGGCAACTCACTGGACCACCAGTACCACCTCATAAGAGGCCACAACTGTACATTCCTCTCCTCCCCTACTAGCCCGCAACCCCTAGGAGGAGACATTGAAGGAGCAGAAGGCAGGGGGGAGGCCATTCCTGAAACGCCTATTTCAGTGATGCTGGTTCTGGTGGGACCCAATTGAGAGTGCCAATGCAAGACAAATTGCTTAAAGCACAGGACAGTTACAGCCCAAGGCTTGGGTTTTTCCGCCTCTAAGGCAAACCAAACCAGCCAGACAGAGAGGACTTTGGTTTTATGGTTTTACCCCACTGGCTAACCACAAGTCACACAAGCAATTCCCTTAGACACTGCAGTTTCCCAGTATCACCACCAGTGCCACTCGTTATGGGGACAAATGGTTATGAAAACCAATACCCCAGTAAAAGAAAAAAGGTTCTCTTGATCCCAAAGGACCAAGCCCCAGACCCAGGTCAATATACAAATTAGATCTTACCCACAAATCATGCTGTTGCCAATCCTTTAGAATTTAAAATCTAAAGGTTTATTCATAAGAGGAAAAAAGATATAGATGAAAGCTAGAATTTGTTAAATAGAATCAATTACACACTCATTTACCTTCTGAGACCTCCATTTGAACCTGAGGTGACCTGTTCTCTGTTCCATTTATCTATGAAGAGGGCCTTTTTAGTAGCCATCAGGTCAGCCTGTGAGATTGGGGAGATTGGAGCTTTGATGGCAGGTGTCCCCCCCGCCCCCATGGTATTCAAGGACAAAGTGTCTTTACGTCCACATCCTAAATTCTTACCCAAGGTTCTGTTGGAATTCCACTTTAACCAATCCATTCATCTACCAGTATCTGTTACAAAGCCACAGTTCTCTGCAGGAGTCCTGTTTTCATGCACTAGATGTTAGAAGGGCATTGGCTTTCTGTTTAGATATGACCAAGCAACCTCAAAAGTCACGTAGGCTCTTCATCTCCTTCGCAGATAGATCCAAGGGGTCCACGAGCCCTGGTTAGATTATTGAGGTTAATATCTGGATGTATTATTGCTTGTTATGATGCAGGCATTCATCCCTCAAAGTGTGATAGCTAAGGCTATGTTTTAGTCACGGGTATTTTTAGTAAAAGTCATGGACAGGTCATGGGCAGTAAACAAAAATTCATGGCCCATGACCTGTCCATGACTTGTACTATATATCCCTGACTAAATCTTGGGGGAGGGGAGGGGAGGGTGGCCTGGGGGCTCTGCGTGCTGCCTCTGCCCTGAGTGCTGGCCCCGCAGCTCCCATTGGCTGGGAACCACAGCCAGTGGGAGCTGCAGGGGATGCGCCTGCAGGTGGAGGCAGTGCGCAGAGCTGCCTGGCTGTGCCTCTGGCTAGGAGCTGAGCAATGTCCCTGCTTCCAGGGAGCCCCCCAAGTAAGTGGTACCCAGAACCCTCACCCTCTCCCGTGCCCCAACCCCCATCCCGGAGCCCCCTCCCACACCCAAACTCTTGCTGCTGCTGCGGGAGAGGAGCTCGGTGGCCTGAGACTGCCCCAGCAGTGGCCGATGCAGCTTGTCCAGGGGCTGCCTGAGCTGCTCAGGCGGCTCCTGGCTAGCTGCACTGGCCACTGCAGAAGTCCTGGAGGTCCCGGAAAGTCACAGCATCCACGACCTCTGTGACAAACTCACAGCCTTAGTGATAGCACATTCGACCAGATCATAAGCAACATCCGAAGCGTTACTTTAGAACATGCCAGTATCTGAGATATGTAGGGCTGCTACATGGGCTTCAGTACACACGTTTTTTTGAAACATTACGCTTTAATCCATGCTGCCAGAGCTGGTGTGGCACTTGGTACTACAGTAATCTCTTCAGTTCTAGACTTCGTGCCAAAGCTCCCTCTTCCCACTGGAGATACTGCTTGGAAGTCACCTGAAGTGGAGAACCCATAGGGAGACTGCTTGAAGAAGAGGTTACTCACTTTGTGCAGTAACTGCGGCTCTTTGAGACGTGTCCCCCTATTGGTGCTCCACTACCTGCCCTCTTCCTCGTTTGCTTCACACTGTTCCATATGGGACATTCGGGTGCAGAAGGAACTGAGGGTGGTTTGCCCATGCAACCCCATATAGCCTCAGTGTATGGCACGAGGAGGCATAGGGCATGTGTGTGGGCCAAATGGACCACTGCTAATGGAAATCTCTGATCAAGGGCTCAAGAGGCGCATGCGCACCAGAAGTGTAGCACCCCTAGGGGCACACATCTCAGAGAACATTAGTTAATGCACAAAGTGAGTAAAGTCTTCTTCAGCCTCCTGTTTATAAGACTACTTGTTCTTCTCTTTTAATTTGAGGTACAAACCTTGCAGCACTTATTGCATATGCAAAAGAACCAGCAAGCTGTGCACAGATAGCTCTTGTCATCTCTAACAAGTCTGGAGACGTGGAAGAATTGAGAAATGCAGCCCGGGCTGGGATTCCCACCAGGGTAAGGACATCCATTTCCTTTCAATCACCAGAGAAACAGCTACTGCTTTTACAAATCTGGAATAAGTTTTCTATAATAATTCTTGCCCCACATTTATTTAAACTTTTTTATGTTAAGTTGTTAGCCAAGTATAACACAATGACATCAGATAACTAAGATCAAATCCAAAATCATGAAGGACCTGATCCAATGCTCATTGAAATCTGTGGAAATCTTTCCATTAACGTCAATGGGCATTAAGACCCCAATTCAGTAAAGGATTGAAGTGTGTGCATTGAAATCAGTGGGACTTCAGATGTGTGCTTGCTTTGCTGAGACCCATGCAGCTTACACCTTTAACTGCAAAGAGGAAGAAGAAATCAATAAAATGTCATTTTTTTGGACCATATGTGCACACTTTCCCTTCCAATGCTGCATTTATCCATCCGCTTCTTGAGCATGTAGTGAATATCGGCATAAGAAGACCTATCTCTCACACCGTTCCCAATTACTTTCAATAGCAAAGTGAGTCTGATTCTGTTACTATTATTCAGATTAAGTAGAACCTCACTGCCCAAGGAGTCCCATTGAGTTCAATTGCATACCATAGGCATACAATAGAAAAAGAATTACACACATTGAGAACAGTGATACCATCTAGAGACTTCTGTCTTAAAACAGTGAGCCAAAAACATGTTCTTATAATAATATTTAAGATCCTGAACCATTCTCTGTTCATAGGGCTGTGGTCAGACAGTAATGAAGGACAAAGTAGCATTTAGTGGTTCTCCCATGCATCTGAAAGTTTGAGCTAGCTCCCCCAAACGGTTAAACTGGAGGCTCATTAAATTTTCTCCAGCAGTATATAGGCTCATATCTGAAAACGTGTTAAGGGCCTTCAAAAGGTTTTCATGGGGAAGAGGAACACTGCTCCATCACCTATATTGTTGAAAGTCGTCTTGAATGGAATTGAAACACTTCCCTTGGGTATCTGGGTTTTGGTCTGGAGTAGGGAAGAACAAAAACTTTGCTCATCTTACACACAATGTCTGATCAGTCCAGTGTCTTTTAAAATAAACTCCCTGTTGCACAAGTCAATGACTGTAAAAATTACGGTGCTGCTTTTGGTGAAACCATATTGTTTTAAAGTAAATCCATTCACTTTATACGCATTCTTTATGTGCATCTGGATTCAGGATAGGAGTAAGAACTTTGTCAATCATATCTTCTCACATGAAAAAATCACTAGAAAACACCCTTTTAAGGAATACTGCTGAACTGGCTGGCAGGTGAACTTCAATGATGCTATAGATCAGAGATTGGCAACCTTTGGCACGCGGCCTGCCAGGGTAAGCCCCCTGGCGGGCCAGGCCGGTTTGTTTATCTGCTGTGTCCACAGGTTCTGCGGTTCGCCGCGTCCACAGGTTCTGCGGTTCGCCGCGTCCACAGGTTCTGCGGTTCGCCGCGTCCACAGGTTCTGCGGTTCGCCGCGTCCACAGGTTCTGCGGTTCGCCGCGTCCACAGGTTCTGCGGTTCGCCGCGTCCACAGGTTCTGCGGTTCGCCGCTCCAGGCCAATGTGGGCTGCGGGAAGCGGCAGCCCGCCCCGTAGTCCCCTGGCGGGCCACGGGCCAAAGGTTGCCGATCCCTGCTATAGATCTTTCCCATTTCTGCTTCCTGTGATTCTGTGAATTGCAAACACAGATTGATAGTACACATGAGCACTAGCAAGGCTATAATAACTTATTTTAAAATACTGGTATATTTTGGCATGAGCTTATTTTGATTTTCCTTTGTTCTCAAAGTAGTTACCCTCATTCTTACACACTGAGTTACTTTAGTGTTTTGGATTTGGTTGTTTTAATATTTTAGGTAGTTGACCATAAATTATATGGAAGCCGCTCTGAATTTGACTGCACAATTGACAGAGTCCTTGAAGAATTCTCTGTTGAACTGATCTGTCTCGCAGGATTTATGAGAATTTTATCCAGTGCTTTTATCAGAAAGTGGAATGGTAAGAAACCAGAATAAACAATTGTTAGCAATAGCTGTAAAAGAGGCATGAAAAATATCAATGCTTGGGGCCCATTCAGGAGCCTTGGGGCCTATCCAGTATCGCACACCATTACCACTACAGGGGAAGATTCTAATGCCTTTTGTCATATGGAGTAGCACAGTCTTCTGTATACAGTTGTATTTAAATCAGTGGGGAGTATTTTATGCTTTCATTCATGTAATTCATTCACTCAAATCAATGGGACTATGCAAAGGGTAAGATACTACACAAAGAGCTAAGTTGCACCCTGGGTATTGGGGTGGCAGGAGGGCAAAGAGGTATCCTGCATCATTGTAGCAGCAAAGGAAGGAAAGCAGGGTCTCCAGAGTCACTAAACTCCTCCCACCCCATGCAGGTGGGGGAAAAGGACTGGGGAGCAGGTGGAGGATTGGTTCTGTTCACTGCAATGCACCTGGTGGCATAGCTGTGCCAGTGTGTCAAGGGGCACATGCTGTGCTGGGTATAGACCTGGGGCAGTTACTCCTTCCCAAGAATAGCAGAGGAACTGAGAGTGAGACTGAATTCTCAAGTCCCTCCTGAGCTGCTCTATGAGCAGCAGAACAGTGCACTGCCCCTTACTCTGGGCTTGAGGTAAAAACATGATGGAGCCTAGAGTGAATAAGGCTATTAGAATCTGACCCACAGGGTATATCTACACTGCAACAAAAGACTTGTGGCACAGCCGTGGCTGGCCTAGGTCATCTGACTCAGACTGTGGGGCAAAAAATAGCATTGTAGATGTTTGGGCTTGGGCTGGAGGCCAGGCTCTGAGATCCTCCTCCTCGGGGGTTTTTGGAGTCTGGGCTCCAGCCTGAGCCTGAAAGTCTATACTGCTATTTTTAGGCCCACGATCCTGAATCAATTGATCCAGGCTCTGAGACTTAGTTCCATGGGGTTCTTACTGCAGTGGAGACGTACCCACAGAGGCCAAGTTTCCAGTCACAGATGCGTCCGCCCAGCAGGGGCTGGGAATGCACACTCTTGAGCCGTGGAACCCTCTGTCCTGTTAACAATGGCCCAATTCCTGAGGCCTCAGTGAGAGTTTACTCACTTTTTATTCAGACCTTACTCAGACAACCAACTCCCCCCGTCCGCACAGGGAGTGATCTGTGTCACACTTTCCCATCTCTGTCTGCACTGGTACAATAGCAACCCTGCAGAGCGGGGTCTCTCTTTCCCAGCTCCCCTTATGCACAGAGTTGAGAGCTGGGTATGCAACTTAGGGGGTAGAGGGAACCTTATGACCCCTTCCTCCTATCTGTGGCCATGGAGGACAAGTGACTGCAGCAGCTGCTGTACTTCGTTATCCTTGTCCCTGGAAATGTAATATTTCCTAAACTTTTCCCTCAGATCTGGCCCTTCTTAGCCCCACCATCTATGCTTTTGCATTTTAACCCTCGTGCACCCTTAGTAAGTTCTGATTGCTGTTTGGAGCCTTCCAGATTGTTGAATGACACCTGGTGCTATGAGCTCTTGCCGACAAATGTTTTATTACTTGACTACCATCTATGATTTTTATTTTAAAAGAACTTCAGCTTAATTTTTTTTTTAAATGATTTTTAGGAAAAATTTTGAACATTTGTCCATCACTATTACCTTCAGTCAAAGGGAGAAATGCCCATAAGCAGGTGCTACAAGCAGGAGTCAAAGTCACTGGCTGTACGGTACATTTTGTACTTGTAAGTATTCTTCTGCCTCTAAGAATTATTCTAACTCTAGGCAAATGATTATTGTATCACAATAACAAATGCATAAATGTGATCCAGATAACATGAGTGTAATGAACTTGGACCTGGAAATACTGGAATTATTACCAATAAACTAGGAAGAGTTGGAAGTTAAATTTCTGTGGGAAGATTAGCTTATGAATAGGAATGTGCAAAAATGGGCCCCAGTCCATTAAAGACCCAATGCATGCTTTACCCAATGCATGTGAATAATCCCACTGTTGCCCTTCCCAAGTGATCCATCCCTTTCAATTGCCTTATTTCTATTGGCCTGTTCTCATTCCCTCCCTCACCCTTCTTCCCTTCACAATAAAGGCTTGTCCCAGTCTTTTCTATCCTGAAAAACTGTCCATCAACTATCTTTTTGCACCTCCAACTTAATCCCCCCCCATTTCTCCCTTTTATCCCCACTCATTGAATGTGTGGTCTGCAACTGATGCATTGAATCCTTCTCCTCCATCCCTTCAGTCTCCCTTCTGCCATCTTCACACTACTGAAAATGTTCTCACTAAGGTGCCTAGTGACCTCTTCTTGGTCAAATCTCAAGGCCTCTACACCATCCACATCCTCCACATAGACCTTTCTGCTACTTTGGATGCTGTCAGCCATCTTCTAACAGATTTATAAATATCTCCCACTTAGGAGGAAGCTAATACAGGAGCAATAATTCTCCAGGAACCTGTCTCTGTGAACACAGATGATACCGAGGAGACCTTGTTGGAAAGAGTGAAAGAAGCAGAGTGCCGAGCCTTTCCCGTTGCCTTGCAGCTGGTGGCCAGTGGAGTGGTGCGACTAGGAGCAGATGGTAAAACCTGCTGGAAACAAGGAACCCATAGCTTGACTCATTATGAAAAGCAAGATTGCATTTCCTCCAGTACTACGCTCTAGCCACAACAGTACAATAGGAAAAGGAGTGCTTGTGGCACCTTAGAGACTAACCAAGGTGCCACAAATACTCCTTTTCTTTCTGCGAATACAGACTAACACAGCTGCTACTCTGAAACAGTACAATAGGCTTCATTCAAATGAATGAACGTTCTACTCATTGCTCACTGGTTTTTCTCTGTCTGTTGTTTCTTCTGTCCTGATTTCAGGCAGACCAGTTTCATATCTTTCCTTTACAACCGGGATATATCTCCCCCAATCTAAAGTTTGTTACAGCTCCTTTGTTAAATCAGTGTTGGAATCTAAATTACCACCTCACATGTTGGGTTCCTGCATGTTCAGCTGTTTGTTAAAGGTGTGTGTGTATATGTGTGTGAGTGTGTATGTATGTGTGTATATATATGTATATGTATATATATATACATAAAGCAAAGAATTTAAGGTGTGAAAATAACAATGGTTTATAAGGGAAATCTAGATGAATTCTGTTAAATACCAGTTTTGTCAGCATCTCCTTTTGATTGTTAATCTGATTCCAGAAAACCATGAGCTTCACAAATCAGCCCTATATGAATTGGGGCAAGCTACTGCTAAGCATTCTACCCCAAGCGTGGATCCAGTCAGATAATTCGGTCCCTACTTGACAGGTAAGGGAGATGGAAAAAAATTAGGCAACTTCTTAGGGGAAAAGTGCTAATTTTGTAGAAGGAGGTTGGTGTCTCTGTGAGTATTCTCCCCCTTTCATCGCCATAGTTGGAGGCTCCTGGGTGTGTGTCTGTCTTCTCCCTAGTGGGTCTGTAGCTCTATGTGATGGGAAGTGAGCCTGGTTGTTATGGCAGAGAAGGAGAAAAGAAGTGTTAGTTTGATCAGTGATCCACTCCATCTGCCTGTGATGTCAGAGCCAAAAATTAGCACAACTAGGTTTAGACATTAGTCATGTTTCTAGAATTAGGATCCAAGCTAGTGGTACTAGCAGTTCCTGGGACCCTGCTCTAAAATAGGTAGAAATGCAGCCAAAAAGTTGGAAGTGCCCAATTTTATGGAAAACCTTGAATTGTGTTTTCTGCAAAATTACCTAAGGCCCTCATTAAAGGTGGAGTGAGCTGACAAGCAGCAGATCCAAAAGCCAGCTGTAACAAGGGTAACTGACTTTGAGGGAAGGTTTTACAAAATGGATTACATTTTTATCAAGCAACCTTTATCTTGTTTAAGTTCTCAGGGAGAAGCTATTTTCCCTGATCTTTCCTTATCATGTAGGAGCATGTTTTGAAGGTATGTCAAAGCACAATCCAATTTCTTGAGCGGGAAGGGCAGTTTCCAAAGATTTTAAAACTTTACACAGGAGATTACCAGTATATATTGAAGAATCTTTTTGGATCTTGTTAAGGATAGTGAGAAGGACCAGAAATACACATTTTCCAGGTTTCTGATAGCAAGGAGAAAGAGGATGATTTCTCCTTTGAGTGACTGTGTGCACATACATTCCACTGTAAGGGCTTGTCTTCACTGCTGGGGTAAAACGATGCAAGTTATGCTACTCCAGCTACGTCCATGGGAGACGCTCTCCTGTTGACTTACCTTAATCTTCTTAGGGAGCTGGAGTACTGGGGTTGACTGGAGAGCACTCTTCACTAGACCCACTAAATTGACCCTGCTGCATTGATTGCAGCAGTGTCATCTCCCTGTGGTGAAGACCAGCCCTAAGTGTGTGCATGCCCAATGTACTTGAGACAGACTTTTGCCACCCATTCCAGCAGACAGTGCACAGGTTCCCCACTATTCTCCTTCCCTGAGCTGAGGGTATAAAGGACATGATAGCCACCCCTCTCCATTCCTTCTTACCACTCATTGCGGGAGTCAGAGCTCCCTGTCGCCCCTGAGATTCAGTTAGCCAGCCCTTTAGAGGCATTCTTGTATTATATATATTTAGTGTTAGTAAATACCAGATCAATTAACTGGGCAAAGATCCCCGATTTCAAATAACATGCCATGTGCGTGGCCATGATCCCGGCTAGCGACAGACATAAAAGTTGCCTTATCTGCTTAGGCAACAAATGTGAGGCACAAATGGCTTCTTTGTACCTCCTTCCCAACCAGAACAAAGAAACAAAGGGATTTCTGCCTTAAAGTCTTCTGGTAAAGGCGATGCATCCCTCATCAGAGCCCAACCCTGATCCTGAGAGGACAGAAGGTTGGTCTGTGAGGAGTGCCCCATTGGCAGCCTCTGCTTCCAAGCCAAAATCTGGAGAGAAATGTTACTCGTCATGTTCTGTGGCCTCCTCAAACTTTTCCAAATCCTCCTCCTCATCCTCAGAGACTGACAAACCATCAAAGTCTCATTCTTCCTCTCACAGAAAGTCTCTGAAATTTGAGGTCTGGTCATAAGCACCAATGCTCCCCAGCATCATTGATGGCCCTGCTGGTGCCAGAGTCAAAGACCAATGCCTCCTGCCTACCAGAGAGATCTTTGAGGCCAGTGCTGTTGGGTCTGGCACCACCAGCGTTAGCAGCTTAGCACTCACCTCTGATATTGGTGCTGTCGATGCTGCAGGCATTCTTCAACTATCTTTTTGTCTCTTTCTCCCCTGGACTTTCTCGTTACATCAGCTGACGCCAACCTTAATGCCTTCAGCTTCATCGGCACTGCCAGCACCAGCAACTTCGCTTACCACCATGGTTGCGGCAGTTCAATCTACTTTGTCTATGGGTGCTGCGCTGTCAACACTGACTCACCTGTCCTGCATTCTGACTGCCTTGTCCACCAGCACCATTGGATACATCTTCGAGTACACTACCTTTGGGACAACACCGTATGTTGCTGGTGCTGAGATCTTCCACTGATGCCTATGGGGATCGCTCCACCATTTACTGAAGAGTTTTGTGTTTCCTCCTCTTCAGACTCAACCGTGAGAGAACCATACCTCAGGCCTTCATACAGACAACATTGTAGAGAGACTCAAATTAGAGCAAGAACATTATTATAAAGATGTCCCAGTATGGTGCCATCCACCGTGGGCAGTACAAAGACTGGACAGTCCTCCTTGGCCTCCTTCGTCATTTTCAAGACTATCTAGGTTCCTATTGGCCACTCAATCAAAAGAGAGTCCCCTCCTCATGTACCTAATAGTGCCTAGAGACAATCCTCTTCCAAACACACAACCACCAGGTCTATTGAAGCCAACAGACCCAGAAGAAACTAAGGATATTCCTGCCCTCCACCGCCCCAGTATTTCTTCCTTTTCTCCAGTCGACATCACCTATGCTTGGAGGACTTTAAAGTTTTTCAGGACCTCATTAGGAGCCTGGCCACATTTCTGGGGCTACAGGCAGCACTCATGCAAGACAATCTGCACAAACTATTGGATGTCTCTCAAATTCCCACTCCATAATGTATTGCCCTTTCCACAAATGAAGGCTTGTTGGATCCCCCAAAGACCCTCTGGCAGACACCAGCCTCTATACCTCTCACTGTCAAATGGGTGGACAGATACTCTAATTTTGGCTAGGGGACTATTTCTTTACAGAGTGGCAAACAAGCATCTGACACAGCCTCACCCTAAGGCTACCCCCCAAAAAATAAGGAATACGAGACTGGACCTCTATGAGCCTTCAAATTAGGCATTGTTGTCCAAATATACCTTATTAACAGGTCAACAATTTCAAAATTTTTGGACAAACTATCTCAGGAATACAGGGATCAGTTTTTGGTCATGGTATCAGAAGGTTATCTCACCGCTTGCATGTCCCTCCAAGGAGCAATTGGCACGTCAGTGCATCATGTTCAGTGGCTATGTAACCCTTCTGCCAGGGGGAGCCAGCCGCAACCAGGGCTGGGTTCAGTATCTAGGGATTCCTTTCCATTGATACAACACAGAACCGGCTTGAGCCCCCACCCAGTAACCTGGGAAAATTACAAACGACCCCTGGGCGCCTCTGAGAGGCAATATTTCCCACTCGCAAGCACAGAGTCTGAGTGTAGTAAATAAACTTTTAATAAAAGGAGGGAAGTAACTGGGTGTTAATTTGGGAAAACACCGCAAACAGAGTTCATAAACATAAACCATGAATAAAAGACCCAACCCCAAGTAAGTTGGGCAGTGTCCTTTTCCCCTCTGGTTCTTAAGTCCAACAACCCAAAAGTCCCTTTCATGTGCCCAGCCCTTCTCTGCACCCCACTCACAGTTTTTGTCCTTGGTCAGTGCAGATCCAGAGGTGCATCTGCAGAG